TATACATGTACGTTATTATTAATAGACTTATAAAATTCTCTTATTTTATACCTTATAAAAAATTAATAATAATTAAAAAAAAAAAAAATTTTTTATTTTTATATTACTAAGATATATAATATCTTACTAAAAATTATTATAGATAAAAGATTATTATTTATTTTAAAATTTTAATAAAGCTTTATAGGATACCTAAGAATTAATTATAAATTCTTTATTATATACTATAAAAAAATAAAAAAAATAAACTAAATATATAAATTAAATACTAAAATAATACCTTTACTATTATATTAATTATAAATAAATTAATTAAGTTTAAAAGCTAATATATATAATAAATATATATACTAAATAAGTATATATACTAAAAATCCCTTAATTATTACTAATGCTATTTAATTAATTTATTATTAATTAAAAATTATACCTTAATTCTATTCTAAATATTAAATCCTTTTTATGCTTTAAGCGCTTTAAAATAACCTAAATTTAAGTCTCTAAGGCGCTATTAAGCTATATTAAGTTAATTATTAGGCCTTATATCGCCGGTATAATAGTATTTAATCTTAATGCGATTAGATTCCTAAATTATATAAATTATTTAATTTAGAGGAATAGATTATTATTTAGTTTATTCTTAACCTAGATTCGCGAGGATTTCCCCTATGATTATATAATATTAAAGAAATAACTAATTAATTACTTACCGACTGCGATGCGCTACTTATTAATAAGCGCTAAGCTTTTAACTTTATTAAGTAATACTTAGACCTTAAGATATATTTTTTTTAGAAGTATAATTACTAGAGAGCTAAGTATAAAGATCTAGCTATTATTTATAATTAGTTTATAATTATAGCGAATATAATCGCGAAGTATAATATCTAATTAGAAGATATCTATAACTTTAATAAGACTAGCTTTATAATAGGTATAATTTAAAGCGGAATAATTATTATAGATATAGATAGGCATAGAAAGCTAAAATTAATATAGCCTAAAAACCGGGAATAAATTATAATTATTTAAGCGATTAATATAGAAGGCTAGGTAATCTTATTATTTATTATCGGCGCGGGCTAATATTACCTCGCTAATTAGTACTAAGAAAATAATCTCCCGGGTAATTAGGCTATTGCGATAACTTAAAATAGCTAAACTAATAATAAGACTAATATAAAATAGCTTAAGTACTTTAATTAATATATAATTAATTAATTAATTAATTTTTATTATCTCTTAATCCTTAATAGCTATAAAAGTTATTATTTTATTAATTTTAAGAGATATTACTAAGATAATAATATTATTATATTTTATATATTACCTTATTTATTTTATTTATTTTAGCCCTTTAATATTAAGTATTTTAATATATTTAAGAATACTTATAGTTAAGAAATTAAATATCTAATTAAATACTTTATAACCTATATTTTAAAGACTAAGTTCTTTTTAGCCTTCTATGCCGCATTTTAGGCTACTATAATAAAAAGAAATATTATATTAGCCTTTAGAGGAGCTAGGCTTATTCCTCTTAATGCAGAAAATATAGTCTCGAAGCTTAATATATAGCTATAGACTCTAATGCCGCCTAAAGAGGTAGCTAAACCCTTAATCCCTTAGGTCTTAAAGACCCTAAAGATTATACTTAAGGCTTAATCTTAGTTAGATTACCTCGAGAGATAAGTTATAATATATAAAAATAACTCCCTAGAGTTAATTCTAGAAGCTATATAGTCTTCTTCTAAGGGAATAAAGATAATTATATATAAGGTTGCCTTATTAAAGGCAAGGGTTAAAGACCTTAAATAGGTAAATAAGATACTAAGCCGGCACCGGAGGGCAAAAAGGACTAAACTATAGAAAAGAGGGGTTATAATAATAGAGGAAGGAAGGTAAATAATTAATTAAATAGATATTAATGCATAGGTAGTGGCCGAATCGTCGAGAAATAGTAATTAAGGAAGGTTAGCGTAACCGGGAGTTTAGTATTATAGTATCTATAGTAAGCCTAGTTATAATATAAGGACCTATTAGGTAGTTATTAAGATATCTAGGGAAGAATATAATAAGTAGTTTTAATTAATTAAATAATTTATAATATTTTTATTATAGCTTCTATCTTATAGGTATAGGAAAAGTGATATATATACTTATTTAGTATATATGCTTATTATATATATTATTAGTTATTTAGCTAGCTTATAATATAGCTATTAATAAAAGTATAAGGATTATATTAATATATATTAACTTTAGGTTTACCTTAAATACTTATTAATAAATATAAGATATTATTATTAACCCTAAAGTAATCTTTATTAGTAATTAATTATATAACTTATATAAAAAAATAAAAATAAAACTTAAATTTATTAAAAATAAAATAATAATTTATATTAATAAAAAAAGGATTAAAAGATTAATCTTCTTAGAGAAAGATATAATTTACCTTATAATAAAAATTATTAAAATAAAATAATAAAATAAAAAACTTAAATATAAATATATTAAATTATATAAAATTAAATAAAAAATCTTAAAATATAATTATAAATTAGACTTATTACCTAAGGTTAAGCTTTATTTAATCTTTTATATTTTATTACTTAAGTTAATATAAAATATTATCTAAGTAAAAATAAATAATAAGCCTAATATAAAAATTAATAGATTAGCGAAATATATTATAGAAATTATTCTTAATATAAATAAAATAAATAATAAAATAATATATTTTATTAAATAATAAGATTACTTAGACTCTAAGAATATATAAGAATTATTAGAGTACCTTATTAATATATAAAACCTTTTAAAAGACTTTTATTAATAATATTAAAAGGAATAATAAAATTATTAAGAAAACTAAGATCTAAGATATTAATATAAATTATAATTTAAATATCCTCTATAAATAAAAACTCTTATTATTTTAATTATTTAAGCTCCTATAAGGAAGCTAAGCCCCTATATATTATCTCTATACCTTATAATATTAATTATTACTTATATTTATAATAAAATTCTAACTAAGAAAATAATTTATTTAGATTTTATTATACTTTTTATAAAGCCTTATAATAAGAGGTAAATAATTCTTTAGTAATAGCCTATTACTTATTTAAATAATAAGTCTTATTAATAATATAAGATATTAATATTATTAATAAAAAGCCTTAAAAAGAAAAAAAGAAATTATATATAAGAATTTAAAGAGATACTTATTATATTATAAGGCTAACTTAGATAAATATATAAATTACATTTCTAAGAATCTAAGATTATTTTATAAATAATATCTTATTTTAAATAATAAAAATAAGGCATAACCTTAAAATTAAATTAATTAATACTAAAAGTAAAAATATAATAATTTCTAATAAAAGAAAAAATATTAGATTTTTTAATTATATAGCCTAATATCTTATTAATATTATAATAAAAATAATAATATAAATTAAAATTAATTACTTATAGGAAAAGTAGCTATAATTATAAAGAATAGCTTTAAGGATAAGATTAATAAGAGTGGAGATATTATATTATAGCCTAATTAAGTCCTAATTATATACCTTATATAGCCCTATAATACTTATTAATTAATAATAATAATAAGTAGCTTACTCTTATATATATAAGCTAATATATATAACTTATTATAAGAGTAATAAATACTTATAATTTATTTACTTAGGTCTTAGTAATCTACTTAATATATAAAATATATTTATTATATTTTCTTATATATTAATTACCTTAATTATTAATATAGCTTAGTTATATTTAATACCTTTAAGTATATTACTAGATATAACTTATATTATCCTTTAAGGCTATATAATATAATCCTCTGCTAATATAAACCTAGTATGATTAGCTTATCCCTTAGGAACCCCCATTGTGACGGCAGTCACAGCTGTGGGCACCTTAGCCACTGCGCCACGGGGCAAAAGATTGGGCCATAATCGCTATTGTAGCAATTACAGAAGGTGCTTCAACTGCCTATAGGGCTTCAATCGCTGCTCCGGGGGACCAAGCCGTAACACCCATGATCGTCACAATGGTGTGGAGGCCAAGCCGAGCAATTTATATTCTGGGAGATTGTAATAGAATCGGCGGCAAATACCCGTTGGCTCATGTGGGCCAAGGCCCAGGCGAGCCAACGGGTAATTCCTAAAGGTTTAGTTAATATGGGAGCACATGGTTTCTCTGGGTAAATAGCTTTGATCACGTGCAGAGAGTTCGCGGGGCTAGAGGTGTCCGGATGAATATTTATTGCAGTATCCGGATTATCTCTTATCCTATCTTATCAGACAACAGGGGTACCATGCTGTTTAACAGGGATAGCGTTCCATTTAAAACCGATGCGTACTAGTTCCTGGAAATTGACATGGGTGCTGTTCGTCCAAGGCGCGACCTTATTGGCTGAGTCCTGACGAACACAAGCGAAATCCGACACCCTAAACCCATCATTGATCATCATAGATTTAACTGGGGTTTGACAACCCGGCATCCCCGCCCCTCCTGTGGCTAGCGATAAAGTTATCTACCTTATCGACCTGTTTATGCAATTTCACATATTAAAGTGGAATTCTTAAAAACATATCAATCAATTCTTCTCCTCTCGCAAACTTGGCCATCCAGCATCTCCCCGCTTTCAGCATACCTCCATATCTACCTACTTTACAAACATGCAAGAGTCCAAACCTCCGCGAAGGTCCTTCAACGGCTGTGAAAGATGCCGCAAGCGGAGACAAAAATGCGGCGAGGAACGGCCGACATGTAAACGATGCCGTGATGCCAGGGCTTCATGCGTGTACGCACTCAATGTTCGATGGGGGGGCCGGAGCTTCCACCTCTCCCGATTCCGCCACTGTCAGGTCCAAAAACTCGGTAGGTGGCTGATGGACCATGTAAGGAACCTGCAGAGGCTGACTTGTGCACAGCCATGCCATCTGGGGGATTTGTCTATTCGGGCATCCGGTCTTCTAGTAGCCCCGATGGGGACGACATCGAGAGGCGCAACCCTGAACCTGTACTGAATGCACCGACGAGCCTCGGAGCACCCCAACCGTCCTTCCAACAATACCCCGACGTCGAGCCTGGCCTTTTGATCCTGCTCGATTACTTTGTTCATGTTGCCTCCGAGAGCATGTGCACACACCAACAAATCAGGTCCGAGTTGTGCCAGACTCTCATTCCAATGTCGCATACCGTACCCTCGCTGCTCAGCGCCATACTTTCTTATTCTGCCTCGCACAGGGTGGCCGATCCTCTAATCAGCACACATCAACAGGATAAGGTGCTTGCAGCTCGCTTGAAGCTGGAGAGCATCCACAGGCTGCGCAACGAAGTGGATGCTTCAGTCACAGGGGCACAAGGCACACTGGCGACCAGCCTAATGCTCCTCCAGTGCGTACTGGCTCATCAAAATGATGACTACAATGCCTGGAGATTGTTCTTGCATGGTGCAAGGACCGCCATGAAAGTGATAACCTCCGCACGACCTAAATCGGGATGGACCGCTCCAAACCCCTCGTTGCGATACTTGCAAGATCGATATCAGCTTTTTGAGCTCATTGCCATGCTGCCACCCTCTGGCTTCCCTGCCAGCATCACCTTGATGGATGAGTTGCCCAGCTCACCCCCTACAAGTGCCGATTGGCTAACAGCGACGTCTCCGCTGACCTTCTTCCTCGACAACTACGGATGTTCCACAGATGTACGCCGCCTTCTGCGCGGCATATCAGCCCTTGCTTGGGAGCGCCGCCAACTGAATACAAGGAGCGACCCAAACTGTTCCTCGCCGGCGTTGAACATGGCTGAACTCGACCAAAAGTCTAGAACCCTGGAGGCAGAACTCCTCTGCGTGATAAACCGCGATCAACAGCCACGACCCATCTTTTCCCCGGCAGTCCTGGATATTCTCACAGAAGAACAAATATTCGAATTCATTACCTGTAACCAGATATACGAGTACATGCTCCTGACTTTCCTACGCAAAGAAGTCATAGGTATGGCCACAGCAAGTGAAGAGGTACAAGGACCAATCCGCGAGATAATCAACCTTACTTCCCTGCTTCAGCCACTACATGGCCTCTCTCCAAGCACTGGGCTCAACACGGCGCTTTTCATTGCTGGTCGCCACGCCTTGCCATGCCATCAACCTGCAATCATGAATCATCTATCAGCATTCTTTTCCCGTACGCTCAATTACAACACGGTGCGTGCACAGGACGAATTGATGAAACACTGGTCCTCATCAAGTCGTTATTCTGAGTTGGAACCATCAGGAGGTATGTGTTTTATCTATCTGTGTCCCTGCGTTTCATACTCTAACCTCTTCCCATTACTTTTCAACTGACAAGATGTGCTACATAGAGCATGGGAGAACGGACTTTCTAGCATTTTGACAGTTTCATTCGTCCTCTTACTACCTACCGAAATCCATGTAGACAAACGATGCAGTAGTGCCCGTCTCTAGCTCTTCATCGTTCATCCTGGCGTAATAACGCCCCGAATTGCCAGGACAAGCCCTATCATCTAAGCGACGCTGTGAAGCGGCTACCCGAGAAAGGAACATGGTATGTTAGTCGCAGCCCCTGGGCCACATGACACTCTGCTTTGTGTGTCTTGCTCGAAGACGGGGGTTCACCAAGGGGCGTTTGCGAAGCCGAAGGATGCCGGTATTGGTGAGGTGTGGGATGGATGTGGACAGACACGTAAGGTGACCTGTTGAACACATAGCGAAGTCCCGAAACTTGGTCAGACGGTGTCTAACTTTATCACATTTCACCCATTTTATCCTATGGCGATGATATATACAGAAACTATGTGAATGAACCAAGGGGAAATGTATATAGAGCCACCCTGAAAGCTATCCCTTGCTGGACTGACTGTACCTTGTATCGAAAATGCACAAGGCACTACATTGTGTACTGTTGTTAGTCTGTCAAAGGTTCGAAGGTTATCTTGCAGCAAAGTCCTTCAGGCCTCGTTGTCATTATTTGGTCGTTGAACTCCATAGACGCTACCATGTCCTGAGCGGGTACTGTTCGCATCTTGGAGTAAATTGCATGGACAAGGGCTCTCATTTCTGCCATGGCCAGACTGCGAAGAGGAGGTGATTTAGCTCATCAATTCCCAGCCACATACTGAAGGACGGAGAACTCACTGCCTGCCAATGCAAGTGCGGGCGCCAGATCCAAATGCGAAAAACAAACGGCCTCTCTCAGAATCTCCGTCCGGGTTGAGCCATCGCTCAGGGACAAAGGCGTCGGCGTCCTGAAATACGTCATCGTCATATCGATGCGTCGTATACGACTGACAGCTCACAACTGTGCCGGCTGGAACGAAGTGGCCATCGATCTCCCGGCCACCAGCCGGCACATTTCGGGGAAGTGACTGCATTCCGGGAGCCCATAGTCGAAGTGCCTCCTGCAACATCGCATTAAGGTAAGGCAAGGTATCAAGCGGCTGCCCTGAACTTTTTCCGACAACAAGTTCTTCACGCAGTCGCTTCACTCTCTCTTGCTGGCTCGGCCGAGAGAGCTCCCAGAGCAGGAAGCAGAGCGTGTCACCGGTTGTGTCGATGCCCGCTGTGATGTGGTCGTAGCACTCAGATGCAATGGCATCCACCGGCATCTTCTTGTCGTGTAGCAGCCGAGCCATGAGGGAAAACTCGGAGTAATCAGTCTTGCTCATAGATGACCAGACATAGTCATCAATCGGCTTTCCCCCTTTTGTTGGCTTGTGGCTCAGGAATTTGTAGATTCGTTGGAGGAGGGGCCAGTAGCGTTCGAGAACGAGAGCTGGAGTGATGTGAGCTCAAGCGACTTGCTGGGAGGCTACAGTGCAGTTCATACTTTTGCGGCTATCATGATAAGACAGGAGATGGACCATCTCCCGCTGGTCACCTGGCTCAATGGACTTGGTACCGTGGGGATGGAAGAGCATGGCGGAGACACAATCGAGAGCGTACCCATGGAGTAGAAACTGTAATTAAGTCAATAAAGGGACGGGGAACTACCGGGTACAAGCCCGATCAACCTACATAGACGTCTGCCGATGCTGTTTTGCGGCATTCTGTGGCAAAAGCTTCGGCACGTTCCTTGATCACGTCAAGGATCGGCGACTTTAGGATGCTTGTGTTTGAGTATCGCTCCGAGAGTTGCTTTCGCTTCTCCCTGTGCTGTAGCCAGACTCGTCAGACCATTTTCCTTTCAACTGATTACCACTATAAGCCTTAGTCCTCATGGAGAACCCACACCCTACCTCTTTGTTGTCCAATGCAGTGAAAAGATTGCTGGGAGTCACAGTTAGCTGTAAGAGTTGCCCTGCTCTTAAGTCTGAACTTACGTGTGACCCTGAGCCTTAAAGAGCGAGTACATGTGATCCTTGGGTAAGCCAGTGCCGCCAGAAGAGTAAATCTGTTTCAAAGCTGAGGCACTAGCGAAGGACACTTCGTTAGGAGCGAGAAGAACCGTAGGGCCATATTTGAGGTGCAGATCATGTATCCACAGTCTCCGAGTTCCATGAAATTCGTGGTATTTGACAAACAGGCTCGTGAGTCTGAGGTACCAAGGTCCAGGTATGGCCCTCATGGGGCTAAAGGCAACGTGGTAGAAAACGATCGCTATCACCAGGACAGAGCCAAAGGCTACCAGAAGAAGACCTAACGTTTTGGACTGAAGGGCGAGTTCTGCGATCATTGCAGAGTTGTACTATGCGGGATTAAGAAGATGAAGAGAGAAAACCAAGGAAGCGCGGATCAAGACTTGTTATTCGAAGTTGCTTCACATAGATGAGAATGAGGTGGACTTTTATAACCAGCTCTGTTTTGCTGCCGCATGTGAAGCCAAAGTCAAGCTTGGTGTCAGCATTGTTCGCGACCCAAACAGAAAGGGAAGGATGAGGAGACGTCGCAGCCTGAATCCACTGGCTTTTACCAGGGCCAAACTGCCTGATTGCTCATAAGCCGTTTCATGCCGAGTGGCACCGGTGGAACGATCGGAATGGTTTTCATGATTGGCACGTTCGGGCGTCGGCCCGGCCTATCGGAGCATCAGCCTTCCTCTTATCACGACTTACTACTCCCGAATACCAACCAACAAGTCGCAATTGGATGGCTGGGGAACAGCTCCACCGAGCGATAAGCCAGCTTGGACGGGCCTTTCCCAAAGGGGCAAGTTGGGGAGATGGCGACGAGGTCTTTATCTTTGACATGATATCCCAACACTACCCCCAAAGGGGAAAGTTGGGGAGATGAACCCCGAGAAGTCTGTATCTATTCACGCTAGCTTGAAGGGGAAAGTTGGGGAGATGGAGACGCCAACAGAGCAGACCTACGCTCAGCTGTATCTAGCTGCCCCCTCTCTACCAATCGCTTCTCCTTCATATCGAGATGCCAGATCACAAGGCGACACCCAAGCTCCGGAGATGAGGGGTAAGGTTTGAAACTTCTGATTGGTTGCTAGCTTATCTTGAAAGGCAGCGTCTTGGTTACAATCCTAATCGGGGATGCCACCCAAGAAATCCGTGGCGTCCGCCCCATCCGCGAAAAACAGGACATCCAAGATGAAGGAGTGTGCTATCAACAAGACCTGAGCCTTAGACAAAGGCCATATATTGCTGTCATACCTCCCCCCATCAGGTCACGGCAACAAGGCGACAAGGTGCAATCTCTTCAATATTTAACTCTACCTTTACATTCATCTTATTCATCCTTCCTCTCTGTCTATCTTTGGTTCTCCTACACAGCGACCACCCCGTGGCTCTACCAGGTCAGAATGAAAGCACTGTCTGATGTCGAGTCCAAGGCCGCTGGCCACGACACTGGCTGCCAGCAGGCTGTGGATATCTCCTCCGGAAGCATGCTTGAAAATGTCTCGGCTTCCGCTCAGCATGACTGGGGACACACGAAACGCGGCCTTGCTCCTCGTCACGTACAGCTTATGGCCATTGGAGGCGCCATCGGAACTGGCCTTTTTGTCGGCATTGGTAGCGTTCTCCAGACCGCGGGACCTTTGTCACTGCTCCTTGGTTTCGTCTTCTGGAGCATTTTCTTCATATGGCCTCTCAATCTGTGCGTGGCTGAGATGAGCGCGTATCTGCCCGTCCGCGGTACTATTTTCGAGCTGGCAAGTCGCGTCATTGACCCAGCCTTTGGCTTTGCGATGGGATGGGCCTACTTTTACGCCAGTGTTATGCTTGTGTGCACCGAATATAGCGCGGTTGCCACTATCATTCAGTATTGGAATACCTCCATCAACCCGGCTGTCTGGATCGTTATCGCCATGGCTTTCTGTGTCATCGTCAATGTCTTTGGTGTCAAGTATGTTCCACCCATCCCAACAAGGACAACATCAGCCGCGGCGACTGAAATTATCCTTTTTTCCCCGTTCCCCACAGGTATTACGGTGAAACCGAGGTTATCGCCTCTTTTACAAAGATACTTCTTCTTGTCGGTCTTTGCATGCTTACTCTGGTAACCATGTGCGGCGGAAATCCAAAGCACGATGCCTTCGGCTTCCGCACATGAGGAAACGGTAATGCAATTCATCCATACTATACTACAGGGTCTACTGGCAACTTCCTTGGCTGGTGGGCTGTTGTCATCTATGCTGTCTTCAGCATTGCCGGTCCTGATATGATTGCACTCTCCTCCGGAGAGATTCAAAACCCCCGGCGGACTGTTCCAAGAGTCGCAAAACTCATCTTCTATCGCATTGTTGGCTTTTATGTCATCGGTGTGCTGGCCGTCGGCATCATCTGCGACTCGACGGACGAGAAGTTGCTCTCAGCTCAGTCGAGCAATGCCCCTGGCGTTGGGGCCTCCCCATGGGTGATTGGTATCCAAAATCTTGGCATCGCCGGCCTTCCGGATCTTATCAACGCCTTGGTGCTTTTGTCGGGCTGGTCCTGTGGTAACGCCTACGTCTATACTTCCACTAGGACATTGTACAGTCTTGCTCATGGCAAGTTGATCATCCGTCAAATTTCAGGGACATATCCAAACGTATCAGAGAGCTGACTAGCACTCAAAAGATGGGCACGCACCCAAGTTCCTCGAACGGTGCACTAGATCCGGCGTCCCGATTCATTCCGTTGTCGTCGTCACGGTTCTTTCGTGTCTTACCTTCCTTACTGTCTCGAATTCGACCTCGACAGTCTTCTTCTGGTTCGTGGGCTTGACCACTGCCGGAATTATTACAGTGTACACCGGCATGATCGTCGTATTCATTGGCTGGCATCGTGCATGCAAGGCCCAGGGGCTTCCGGGGGATTCGCTTCCCTACAGGGCCCCTCTCTCCCCTTGGATTGCCTACTGGGTATTGGGTTTTGGCCTTGTCACCATCTTATTCTTAGGCTGGGACGCCTTCAGACCGTTCAGCGCCGAGAAATTCGTCACGAGTTACTTCTGTCCCGTCTACTTCTGTTGTCTTTTTATCTTTTGGAAGATTTTCAAGCGAACTAAGCTGGTGCGTCCACTTGAAGCTGATCTTGTAACGGGCAAGAAGGAGATCGACGACGAATGTGCCATCTGGGAGGAAGGTGGTCTTGAGGAGAACTATAGGAGGAGGTTATCGGAAATGTCATTCATTCAGCGCTGCTGGGAGAGGCTGTGGTAGAGACACTAAGAAGTAGGATATATTTCCATTATTGCTATGGATATAGGTACCACTGCGCCACGGGGCAGCAAAGGGGTTTTGCCTGTGTACGGCAGCTTTTATAAGTGCATTTATATGATAAGATAGTAACTTAAGACTCGGGCTTGAGCGGCAAGGCATTAGCTGTAACCAAGCGCTCTAGAAACGTTTCCCGCTTTGATAATGTTTTGAGAAGTGATGCTGATAAAAATATGAACGCTTTCGCATGTAGAAAGGACCCCTACTGCCGTTATACTCCTGATACCCACACTACAACATACATATAGGCCAATTTTAACGGTAGTATGAGTGTTCTGAGAAATCAATTACTATAGCTTGCCTCTACTCGCAGAGTGGCACTGTTTGACTACCATGGACCGTATAGTCAAGCATAACCCTCACAGCACGCGGCTCAGTCATGGATGAGATTCACCTAGGAAGGGAGCAGTGCTAGCATCACTTTTGTAGGTCTCCTCAACAGAGTTGCCTATTCTTTGTTCAAGACCTCCACGATATCGATGTAGAGTGTGAGAATGTTAGTCTTTTTCATTGTATGATTCCTACATCAATGTTATGTCTCATCTTCTCCATCCGCCTAGATGACAATATCCTTAGGCAGATCTTCTATTTCCTTAAAGAACCGCCTAATAGCTTTACCGCTATACCGCATGCTAAGATATATTAAAATAAACGTCGTCTGAGGCCACTTCTAAATAACGTATTTCATATATTTTATATTGTATGCTTAGTCCAAATAGCCTAGTGCCTATGCTCCGTATATAGAAAACTGCATTCCGTAATAATAACCGGGATGCCCTACTACAGCTAATCTAGCTCGGTAGTAAGCATTGCCGCAATAATATCGCCTAGAAAGGCAAATATTAGGGTTAAATATACAGAGGTGATTCCTATATTAGACTTATATAGGGCCTTAAGCTCGGGGCTAGTTTAAGAGGTATACTCTAGCTTAAGGCGATCAGAGGCTATAGAGTATATTTCCAAGCGTCTTCCCATCAGGATAGGCAATTTAATGCCCCTCGCCTACAGGGGTTACGCTACAGCCATTACAATAAGCGCTACTTATACAACTACTCCTCCCACCATATCCTTCTACTCTGCTATGGACCACTTCCACGGCCCAGCGTCAACCGACAGGAAGCTACACTATAGCGTGACTAACACTAGAGATACGCGATCATTCGCCACGAGGAGGGTTCAAGTCAAGCAGAAACAATCAAACGGGAGATTTCATGCCTATATGGAGCTACTAGCTGATTTCCACGTCAAAGATCCTTCAACCCTAGCCTATTCAAAGTCACCAAGCTTCATCTAGCCCAAACCCGAGGACTCTCCCGACAGCAAGACACAAGTAAGTCGCTTGCTGGAGAAGGGAATAAACACCAAGCAACAAGGGGACCAGTACTTGAAGTCCTTTGGCATATCTGACAACTTTTTAACAATCGATACTATGTGGATAGAGTGTCTAGTCAAAACCTTGCGGGGGCTACAATAAAAACCATCACGACTCAAGACAACCGACACATTATAGACAAGGTATCTACTAAGTAGCAATACGCTAAGGGGGAGTTTAAAACACCACCCGAGAATATAGCTATCCTCTCCTTCTTAATAGACGGTAGCCTCTCATTCCTGCCATTAAGTCATAATCATCTATGGTTCGACGACATCACGGCTTGCTCAACGCTAGATTTTACCCTACGCATCTTCGTTACAGACGTGAAGATAAACGAATAGCACTTACAGGAACGCAGAACTTTGCGAGGTAACAGCGGCCAGACTTTCCCTAAGGCCAAACTTTAGGACAAGCAGGGGAACTTAGCAGCGTCAACAAGCCAACAGTCTATCATAAGGTTCAGGAAAGAGATTCATCCATCAAAGTTATAAATGGACTGGACTAAGCTGTGCGTTTTGGCACGGTTCTTGAAAGAGCTGTTTAGTTAGCAACATCGGGCATCACTAGCGATCTATATAAGACATGAACATAGTCAGAACTAGTTCATAAAAAGGAGAAGGTTTGGTTTGGAATCTCAATAATTACAGCCTCTCGTTTCCTCACTATTACTATTTTGGCCATTTTACGCCTCTGGAAGCTTTAGTGGCTCATCGACTATTCTCCCCTCATATGGGTCCCCTTCCATGACATGCAACTCGCGCCTCATCGACCGGGATACTGGATAAAGAGGAACAAAAAGCCACCCTGGCCGCTTGGCAAGCCGGAAAAGAGGATATGATACGTTTTTCCCCCGCTTGTTCAACTCTTCAAAAACCGCGAAATATCGTTTGCAACTTTATTCTCGCAGCGCCGACCCAATTGTTCTTGTCGAAGATGTCCGAGCAGCAACCCGCTCATAATATCCTGCAGCCGTCGCAGCAGGTGCACCTCCCGTGGAGCCTGACAGTGGCCTACTGCCAGGCCAACACTGGATACAGTCGAAGCCTATAACATAAACCTACATAAAAGACCCCGTTGGTTACTGTAGGCAATGACTGACGTGGTTGTGACTCGTGAGCCTCAGCTAGTTGACGATGACACTGACTCTGCGCCGGGTGATAACGCCGGCTCTACCGTCTCGCTGTCATCTAGCATTCTTGAGACCAGAGAGATCAATGGAAGGTGGTATCACGGTGAGGAAGGAAATGCCCAATACTGATGACTAGAGTGACCGCACAGTCCCAAATGTCGGTGATATTAACTGGTAAAATAGCGTCTCGAACGACGATCAATCCAAGGAGGCTTTGGACATCAAGTAGGCTCTAAGTCAGAAGTCATGAAAGCTGACTGACATTGTTTGTAGCCATCATGTCATGACGTTTATGTACAGTGAAAAGCTCTTTAGAGCTCCGTTGAAGGAGGATGTTCAGGTTTGTCTCTAGGTCAGCCCTCGAGAGAAACTGAGCTGCCTGCTTACTATGTGATTCACGAGTAGACGGCGGTGGACATCGGCACCGGCACAGGTACAAAGACTTTGAATGATATCTCACCAATCCAGCCAAGCTGGATGCCTGCAAACTTGGAGTGGTAAGCTGTGAAATTATCCCTTCTATCCGAATCTAAGGATAACGGTCAATCACCTATTTGTCGGCCAAATGGATGGCTGCACTCAAGAATAGAACTTCAAAGGTAACTCCCTCGATTACGTGCACATGCACTTCTTGGTCGGCAGCATCGTTAACTGGCCGACACTATATAGGCAAGCCTATAGATGCCTCATGCCCGGTGGATACATCGAAAGCCATGAGGCGTCACAAAATAATGACAGCGATGACGGATCAATCCTTGAGAAGAGTGCCATGGGTCAGTAGGGTACTTTGATGTTTATTGCAAACCTGCTAGGCTGGTCTAAGGAGAAAATTGACATCTTTAGCGTACACTATCGACATGAGATTCGGTTCAAGAAGATCCATGGCCATTCTTTGTAGAAGGTCGCCTGGGCTCGAAAGCCTCCCGACTCTTGATACAATGGGGCTGAAAGATGTGCCCTGGCTCGGCCCGAGACATAGACAGTGATGGGTCTGGATAAAAACGGGTATCTAGAGGACTTAAATTTGCCTAGACCTAGGATTATCGCTGTGCCATCTTACCTGTGGGGGAGGTTGCCTTGTTTGTCCTTATAGTGCGCCGCATACTGTGCGTTAGGAATGGGCTCTTTGACTGTTGCTCACTGGTTGTTGTTTGTGAGACACTCACATTAGCTGGTTCAAAGGCGTTCATCCTCTTGTTTTTAACCGGGTGACTGTGGAGGAAGCCGAGTCTGACATGCTTATGGTCTTATGATGTTTATTCCTTTGTGCGTTCCCGCGCGCCGTTATAAATTACCCGGTTATCCACATGAATGGTCTTTGTGCTCGCTAGACCGGCACGGTTTGTTCTTGCTAGACTTGCTTAGTCTCTTTTGTAAGGGCTTTTGATATATCGTTTAAAGCATCCTATATCATGAGTTCGTGCTGGGATGTGGCAGCTCTGTCCACCCTAGGTACTACGAGTTTGACAACCGTCCCATCCCATTCATGCACACTGTTGGGCAACGAAGAGATCTAGCAGACAAGGTCTGCAAAGTGGCAATTCATCCTCTTCTTCGAAAGCACATCGACGGAAAACATATCAGACATTCCTTGTTAGAATCGGCGGCTGTTCTCGACGTCGATCTCGTCAAGGCTTGGAAACGGCGGGCAGATTAGGCTTCAGAGGCCGAGCGGGAATATTGGAGTGGCTTTTACGGAGAACTGCTACAGATCTTCTTCGCACCGGAGATGGATGGCACAACTTCTCAGCGCGAGAGAGATATGCAAAACTCCAGACCCTTTGGGGATTCCAGATGCTGGATGCCGAACTCATCGCCACGCTCATTGCTCTTCTGCCCACCATGGACTATTTCAGCCTTTAATAAGGGCCTAACTCACCTATACAGTTTTGTTTATCTTCTATCCGGGCTCTCTGAGTCAGAAATTTGCCAAGGTTGAACACTCTCGATACAGAACCCCATCGAGATACTATCGTGACTTTGGCAGCTAGCTTGGGAACACTGAACACCCACTCCATTTCGTTGTTGAACTCGCACCAGACGAGCCAGTTGCCCAATCTTGCTACACTCTGTATCACTGACGTAGTTTATAAGAAGAAGAAACTCGAAAGTTTACTGACCTGGTGCACTGGGAACCCTCGTACATTCAAGTATGAAGCACGTTGGCGCGATATCTCGTTTGCTTTCAGGAAAGCGGCCGGCGACTTATACGAAGCTCCTCATTTCGGTGCTGCAGATGCTACTAGGGCGTTGGAGCATTACCGAGCAACACTTGAGACGTTCCATCTGGACATGCGGCTGTCTCCAACTTTGCTCCGACCGGCTTTGATGTATAACGAAGTGTACGACGCCGCCAACTTCACTCTCGGCGACTTTAAGTGCTTACAGGAGATCTTTCTTAGCACAGACGGCAACATTCGTGGCCCGAATGCACGATGATCTCTCTCAGGTTGAAGGCACTCAGACGAGTACCTCTGCAAGGATGCCTTCGTCTCTCGTGTCACTGCACCTAGCCAAGGTCATTGGCACAAGGGTTCAAGACTGTCAAGATGGTCTGATTGGGCTGGCAAAGGAGAAGGATCATCGGCCAGGATTTTTTCCTCCTCTAAGACAAGTTGGGATTGAGTCAGAATAGCAGCTGGATGAGGTAGTTGGTCAGATTATAGCTGGAGCCAGCATCAACTTTGTGTACGAGAGCTAGCCCAATAGGAAAGACAGGACAGCCAGGTAGATGCAGGCGAAGGAATGATAGAGCAGAGTGTTGAACTAGATGCACAGAGTAACTGACCATCACGGTTCAATAATACCGGCCTTTTCATCCTTAGATTCCGCTGTTCCTATTCCGACTGGCAGGGCGGATTGAATGAATGAAATTTATTCCGCCCGGGAGGACTAACCTCAATGCTCGGCCGGCGCGGGCTTAACCGAGGCGGCTGCTTTCCGCTGAGTCAGAGTCTTTCTGTCGGGCTTCCCCGCCTGGCCTCTGCCATGGCCGTGACAGTCCAACTCTATCACAATTTCCCAACCTCCCCCCTTAAATCGCTCAAAGTGACGAGACTCACCCATTGTAGAGGCAACAGTTGCGAAATACATCCCAACTACTAATACTCCGTACTGTCCCAGAGTCATGGCCCAGATGGACTCCGATGTGGCCGCTTTGCATAACCCGTCGGAAGCCTTGAGGAGAAAGCGCGAGCGGGACAAGCAGAACCAGCGAAGAAAGCGACACCGTGATCGGGAATACATCCAGACGCTTTTAGCTCATATCGCCCATCTTGAACAAGAGATCGGGAGATCTGAAGCACATGGCCGGGCTAGAAGTCGCGGTCACCACCACGGCCGGCCACTGCGCGACAGCTTTCCCGAAGGCACTGCTTTCCAGGAAGGCTGTAGCAGCGACACGCAGTCCCCCCAGCGATTGAACGTTGCTGTACAGACGAGAGACGGCCTACATAACAACCTAGCCCACAATTCGGAACAAGACCCTATGACTGATTCGGGATCAGGGACGGCACAATGCTCGGATTTTGCAGCTTCGCCACTCTCGGACAACACACGAAGACCTGGCATTCTCGCTACAACTGGTGAAGGGTCCATGAATGAATGCCGGGTTGTCCTCACCACGCGATCGCACCACAACGGCTGTAGCAAACCTCAAAACTCAGTCACCAACGCCGTTGTCCCATTGAGGTCATTGGATATGCTTCTAGAAACACCACAGTGGCAGAGACTGCCGATCATCAGCTTCTTGCCGCCCCAGGTGCCACAACTGTTGATCCGCAGCGAGTCTTTTGGCGCATTGTTAGCACATGTGCGCAGCAATCCAGACAAACTGTCATCTGCTCCAGAAACACCCAAGGCGGTGGATCTCCTATTCGGCGGATCCAGCAATCTACTTGCGAACGCTGTCTCGGAAGAAGCAGGGCCATATGCACTTTTGCCGCCCGAGAAGTTCGCTATAAGTTGGTTGAGCTACCTTTTCCTAAGGGTATGGCCATCCCAGTACTATTGCATACGCCAGCAAGACATAGGACAAAAGACATGCTCACGCGACAGACAGTGGCTTGCGACTCCTTCGCCGACAAGCTTCTCCTTAATGCCAGAGTTTTACCGGCCCACAGCGAGTCAGCTTCTCGTAGAACATCCAATCTGCATTGACCTTATCCTCTGGCCGTCAATGAGGTCTCGACTGGCAACAAACTGGAAGGATTATGACCTGGAAGCGGTGTTTGGTCTCCTGGGGTGCACATGTCGTCTACGCGGGGTGTTTAATGGAAAGTTCATCACTAGAGAGGCGGATGGGGAACCACAGGTTGATCAATCTTTCTTGCGTCTCTTTACAAGAAAGAGCGCATGGGGCTTGCTGGAGAAGTTCTGGGTCGAATACCCCGAGTTGGTCCAAGACTTGGATCCGGATGTTCTTATCAGGGAGGAGCACTTGTTGCCCATGTGACTCGTAGACTTAGAGACTCCATTACGCAAATTACAAGATAATGTCATGCAAAAAAGGGTCGCTATCAGAATGCCGGTGACTGGACTTTCCCGAGCCCGAATCTCCAAGATGAGCCAACGGATACGAAAGTCTTCAGGGAGCTAGAAAGCCCGCTACCAGCCAAGATGGAGCGGGCCAGGTAAATTAGCCCCACGTTGGTGAGTCGCCTCGAAGCTGGGCGAGTCAGCGTTTCTCCACTCCCTATTCATATGACAAAGCCCTTGTAAAAGTGTCTTTTTGGTAATTACCCCGATGCTCCAGGTTGAATGGTGTGGGACTGCACCAGCAATCGTTGACAGTTTTGTCTCCCCACGGTAACTTCGTCATTACAGTACAAATATAACGCTTGCGGTCCTCCTAAGCACTCAATGGTCTCTCTACCTTGTCCACCATCCTCGTCATGATGCTGAAAGCGCACTTTTCTATTTATTTGCATAGCTTGGCTGCTTGGAGCTGGCTAGCTCTTGCAGCACCGCTGCTAGAGCACGATTACAAACCCATAGCCTGGACGAGAAACGGCCCAGTCGTGGGAGTTTACCACCGTCCTCAGCAACAAGAGCACTTTCTGGGAATTCCTTACGCAGAGCCACCGACAGGAGAACGTCGCTTCACTCGACCAGAGCCTTGGGCAAAGAAATGGTCAAAGCCGTTCCCTGCTGGGAATTACGGGCCCTTCTGCTACGGTAGAAGCCTGAATCTGACAGGATTCGACGAAAAGGACTTCGTTTATCCCCAGAGCGAAGACTGCTTGACCATCAACGTTGTGCGGCCTTCTGGATGCGAAACCCCCCCAGGCGTACCTGTCTTGGTATGGATTTACGGAGGGGGGTTCCAGGAGGGTGGTAGTGGTGATCAGCGTTACAACATGTCCGATATCGTACAGTCGTCTGTCGAGATGGGTTCCCCCATCATTGGGGTCAGCCTCAACTATCGCACGTCCATTTTCGGGTTTATCGCCGGCAAGCCTTTCCGGGACCAATCGCGTGTCAATCTTGGTATCCAGGACCAGCGTCTTGCCCTCCAGTGGATCCAGGACAACATCCACGCGTTCGGAGGTGATCCGCGTCGCGTCACCATATCTGGCGAATCAGCCGGTGCACTCTCTGTCGGATTCCACCTTCTGGCAAACAACGGACGCGACGAAGGTCTTTTCAGTGGCGCCATTGCTGAGAGTGGGGGTCCATTCTATCACCTGCCGTTTGCCTCCACGGAAACCCAAGATGACATGTTGGAATCACTTCTGGAGAGTACGGGTTGCATTAACAGCACTTCGTCATTGTCTTGTCTGCAGACCATCCCTCCCCAGGCTCTCCTTGACGCCTCAGGAACTACGAATTGGAACCCGATTGTCGACCATGTGCTGCTTGAGCGGCTGAACTCTGAGGCGCTTCACACCGGCATGTTTGTTCGTGTTCCCCTTCTGATTGGCTCCAACACCAATGAGGGCACGCCATTCGTGCCTGACTTCTCACCCGGTGGCACCAACAACTCGACGGATTTTGCGACTGCTTTACGAAACTTTCTGCAAGGGGGTTCACTATCAGCCCACACCATGCAACAGTTTGAGGAACTCTACCTCCATTCTGACGCCTCGACAGTCAAGAAAGATCTTGGTACTGTTCTCATGGACCCTGGAGCTCCTCGCGGTGCTCTATACGGCCGGATTTCGTTACTTCTTGGGGATTTGGTCATGTCCGCCGGCCGTCGAATCTCCGCCGAGGCATGGGCGAGACACGGCGCAGAGACATATAGTTATCGGTTCGACACCGTTCCTTCTGGCCTGTCTCCTCAGATATACGGGGCGGCCCACTTCCAAGAAGTTGCGTTTGTGTTCGGCAACGTCGATGGAGGAGGATATGATTACAATCCGTTCAATGTTTCAACATCCGTCTTGCGTGCCAAGTATCAGAATCTAAGTCAGGCGATGAGACGCATGTGGATTAACTTTGTCAACACTGGTACCCCAAATTCAGTTCGAGGTTTGTTCCTATTGGCTCTGAAACCGTACTTGCATCAGAGGCTGACACATCGCTAGGGTCAGATAAAGAGGTCTTCTGGCCCAAGTACGACTTATCAAACCCCCAGAGCATCGTTTTCAACGCGCAAGAGGGAATACACATAGAGCCTGATACTTTTAGAGCTCGGGGTATCTCTCTGATACGAAACTCTGCGCATGCGATGGGTAGGTAAATATGGAGAGACTGGCAGTCTCACTTCCACGTTTTGACTGTAGTCGTCGATGCAGCACTGCGTTGCCATAGAGCCAGAGTCATCGTGTTTTACATGTATTGGTAAACGCGTTACTAGTGTAGTGATAATAAAGTAGCTACTTCCAACTGGAGGTAGAGTTGAAGAGGGCTAATACCAAGGCATAAAACATTGCTTTTTAGGTTACCCATGAGTTCTTCTCTCCATACAAATTATTACTATCAGGATTGCCCACAACCGCCAGTCAGAAGTCACTATACCGCTAAAATTACCCATGGGTACCCATTTTAATACCCTACCTAATACCTGCAGGGCCACATTCTATGAATGAATCCAAACTGAGGAAGAAGGTAGGGATAAGACGGGGCCTTTATCGTTCCTTGAGAAGAGGTTAATTGGCTCCTTGGAAAACATTTGTCTTTGCAAGCAAGCTAAGCATGATATTTAACCTACAATTAGAAGCTCTGACCAATCAAGATTACTGCGTTACGCGGCACTGTGTTGTTTTAAAGTTCCAACATTGTATTTCAAAAGGTGTTCTTTACTATTAAGGCCGGCTCCTTGAGAAAAGATGACCACACGATGGAGATCATAACGAATGACCCCAGAATGAGCAAGCTAAAATGATCACGAAGTCGCGAAGACCTCATAATTCTTGTTTATAAGCTATTGTAAGAGAATGACAATGGGGGTTTAGTGCGATGGTAGGAATGCATCTCCATTCATGATTGCACGGTGATGGGGGTTTGGCAAGTACACACTGCAAGCGGCTCAGGCCTTTATCCAGCACCCCCATGTAAGCCCACAGTCTCACTCCCAGCTCTCCTTGATATTGAACTGCTCCCAGAGCCCCGAACTATGCCCCAAGGAGACATCATTTAACGTACCGCTGACGTTACCAATGAACCGTTCATACACCTGCCCAATGCTAGTCGCAAGGACCAAGTTGTTCATATGGACCAGCAGCTTTTCTCCCTTCGGCAGAGCGATCTCAATGGAGTATCCGGAGGGTGATCCAGTCGATACCACAGGTGGATAGGTTGAGTTGTCTCCAGTTGGACGCACCTTAAGACCCGAGCACTGATGCGTCAACACCTTCCCGGCCTTGGAAACATAAGCAGACACGTATTCGGTTTCGTGGGTGTCAAGCGTGTCAAACCAAACGATGGAGTAATCTCCAAGGCGAGCATGGCCCCAATACCACGAGCCCACACTGTCGTAAAATGGGCGCGAACCCCAGTTCTATGGCAGGTCAATCAACTGCAGCATGTGAATGCCGGTATACATCGGATGAGATTGACTAACCTTATCGTGGTAGCCGTAGCCCGTGAACGACATGTGGTGATCTCCAATTTGAAATTTGACTTCACCCTCAGCATCGGGCATTGCGTTAGCCCACCCAACTCCAGGCACGACCTCCTCAGAGAGGCCCCGAGTCGCCGGTCCACAGGGGTAGTGTGCAGGAGCAACCTGGATGAGACATCAGCGTCATGGCCATTATCAAGAGAATGGAGTTACAAACCGATTTCAGCTTAATGTAACCTTTGTATCCGAGGCTGGCGTTATTGGCCGCAATCCTATAATGATCCAGAGTTGGGGATCCCTGCCAGCTGAAGCCCGTGCCCTCCCAGGAACCTGAAGAGCCATCGCCGACCGTTCGGACCTGGCTATCCTGGGCTGGGATTATCGACACGAACCTGGTGCCGTTGGGGAAGACGCCAGATACGTGGACAAAGTTCAAGGTGTCCAGCTCAGGAAGAAAGGCGAGGGCCGTTTTCGGAGCGGTGTAAAAGGCAACCGTCAAGGACTGCGAAGCATCCTTGGCGACGACGTCAAAGTACCACCAGTCGAAGGTGGTGCTGTTGATGGGTATAACCTTCGGTCCGTCAAATGGCTTGCCAGATGACATCATCTCAACAGCGCTTTGGCCCTTGGTGACGGTGCCATGCTCAATGTGTAAACTCGAGCCATAGACGCTGCTAAGCGATCGCGCAGTTGCGAGGCCTACAGCCGCGAGGAAGCAAAGCCTAAGCATGATGAAATAAGAGACAAGATGGTCAGAGAACAGTTGTGATAATGGGTGACGACGATGGTTTCTTAGACTGGAGATAGTTTTGTCTTGAATGACTATGACTTTATATATTCGGCTGTCCTTGGAGCAGCTAGAAACATCCGGAATGCAAGGAGTTATGACATTCGATATGCTCACGCGTTTGTAATATCAAGCTTGAACCCTTGCGACATGACACGGCAAATGAGTGTCAGACTTTTCCTACAAACAACTTCAGCTTCGCTGGGAATATCGCACCCCCCCTGCAGGCGAGTCAGCGGCGAGTCACCATGACTCTCACTAGCCGGACTCCACAAAATTAACTTCCTTCGGATCGGACGGCTGCCAACGTAGCAGTTAGGAGTTGGCTTGCTGGTTGGTAAGTTCGCGAGACCTCGGCAAATATTCCCCATGGTCCACAGGTTCGGTATCGGCATTTGTTATGGAAGCATCGAGGCACCGATCAAACGATAGCACATGTTCAGTGCGTGATTTTATTTATATGCTGTGCCATCCACAAGGTCGGATCCCCGGTCAGCATAGAAGCTAGGCAACCTAAATCCCAGAACTCATTCTTTCCATGTCACTCTAGACAACTTGAACACCATGCCGACAAGCTTGAGATACGATCCGGAGTATCTCGCGTGGCGCTCAGCGCAAAACCTTGGACCGCCACCACGCTTCGCCAATGTATTTGACCTACGAGAGTACGTCAATCGCCGCATGACGGCCGTCCATGCGCAGTATCCTTTACACTCAAGGGTTGAGCAGAAGCATTACAGCGTCACAAGCTATGACGGCGCTCAGATATCAGTAGTCCGCTTCGCAACTGCTTCCCACTACGACCAAGACTCGGCTCAGCCTGCTATTGTCTACGGCTTCGGCGGCGGCACTGTTTCAGGTAGCGTACAGATTTTTGCGCCCGAGATTGCAGACTACGTCGCAGAATCTTGCGTCCAGTTCTTCGCGGTTGGCTATCGACTGGCTCCCGAGCACCCAGCGCCGACCGCCGTTGAGGATTTCTTCGCTGCCGTGAAATGGCTATCAGAGTGCGCCAAGGAGCTCTCCGTGGACGCTGAACGTATCGGCGTCATGGGAAACTCGGCAGGAGGAGGCATTGCGGCCGGAGCGGCTTTACTCGCCCGGGATCGAAAGCTTCTGCCCCAGGTGGCAAAGCAAATCTTGATTTACCCCATGCTCGATGATCGCAGCCTTTCACGCGTCACATCCGACTCGCCCCTGACACCATTTCTTACTTGGAACTGGGAGGAGAGCCATCTCTGTTGGGTCGCGTACCTTGGCGGGACACGGACCGCAAACCCAGAAGAAGACGTCAGCCCCTATGCTGTCCCAGCGAGACACAAGAGCCTTGCCGGTCTCCCTAGCACATATATCGATATCGGAAATCTAGACTTATTTCGAGACGAGGTGATGGACTACGTGGCGAGGATGGCTGCTGAAAATATCGACGTGGAGTTCCACCTGATCCCCGGAGTACCACATACCTTTGACTATGCCTTCTCGACCAGTAAAGCCAGGGAAGCAAAGAGAGCACGCGTCAAGGCTTTACAGAGTTTCTGAGGCTTGCCGGCGTAGAGGATTTCCCAGAAGCGCCCTCTCAAGGGCCCGCACTCACACCCATATTTAGGTTTAGTCGCTGGAAAGAAGTAGTAGATTCCACATCTTTAGAGGCATATCTATTAAGCGTTTCCCTTAGTATCTAGCTTTTCAAAATAGAAACCGCTGTCGATTCTTCCTCCATCCACGCCTATTCCGGGATGATGTCAATAAGCGCTGTGGTAGACTTGGCCCGAGAGTGTTATGATTATGTATCGGTAGGTCTCACAGCTAGGTAATACTATCAGCACTGCTCGGGGTTCATTCTCTTCCACAAACCAATGACTCGATGGCTCCGGTCGCACAGGGCCAGTTGTTTCAGTCTAGTTCCGCACAGCCGGAGGCGCAGTCCAAACGATCATTCAATATAGCTCAGGATGGCGGCAACGCCTTTATCATCAGATTACCTCATGACAATTGTTGTCTTAGCACTTTACTGCTTGTAATTATTAATCAGACTTCCAATCTATCGACTGCTCCTTTAAGTCATGCTGACAATTGCACAGTCGCTGGACCTCAGTACATATCTCCATAATCCTACTACTACTATTCATCAGGGTATAAAGCTTCTTACATTAGCACGATCTTCCTAATTATCGACAACTACCCACCATTCATAATAGAGTCGAGATTTAATAAGGGGGTGTAATCATCGATGTTCCAGTCTTGAAATAATCTGTTCAAAATCAGCATCTGGGTCGAAGAACAAGAGAGAATAAACCAAGAGCTTTAACGTTTACTAACTCGTAACCGTACGCCGCGGAGGATTCATCTGACGGCTCTGGTCCCAGCTGCGACGCCGATTCAGGACAGGGTGTGTCCTCCTGGGGCTCTTTGCGTGGTAGAGCCGCAGCTGCTGAAGATATGTCCTCTGAAGATAAGGGCTCTGTGCGGATTGACCGTACTAGGGTATCCAGGGCGCGAATATGGCCATCTGACAACCATTGGCTGTTTCCTACGGTCTCTTTTGGCCCGATAGACGCATTACCACATTTGGGTCGTCCGAATGCATCAATGACTTGTTGCTGGAGCTCTCTACACGTAGGGTCATCACGCGTTTCGTCCCATACACGAAGTAACAATGCAGCGCTCAAACCTATATGAACTGATGACCACGTTCGGAGAGGGACAAGGCTGAGCGCTATGAACTCGAGAAATGCCCTGGAGACACCGATAAGGCTGTCTTTGACTCGTGAATGGAGTCTCAGGTAATGAGGACATCCAGGGTTGGCTTCTGCTTTCTGGAGGACCGGCCGACATACGACCGAAATGTGGAAATGATAGTATAGTTGCAGGCTAATATGTAGGAGATGCTCCTGTAGAGTTTTGCATTGTGAACGATGTCGCAGATGAGGCTGAGTGTGATTGTAAGTGTCGTCTAGTTCTGCGAGAACTTCCACGGAACGTGATAGGCTGGAACGCTCCTCTCTTGTGAGAGTAAGCATTGCACGAACCATGTGCCACATAGCTTGGCTGTAGTTGATATCGTCCCCCATGGAAGAATTCTGCAGTGTCCAAGCGCTGCTCAGCGGTAGCATGGATGGACGATCATAGCATAAGCTCAAGAAGCACTCTTGCACTAGGATAGAGGACCTGTTCCGCGTCACTGCGTTAGCCGTCAAGTTGGCATTGCTATGTCAATGATGAGAGGTGCTTACCACACAGCACGGGCCTCGAATCTGGTGTTTTCCGGCCAGTGGACTACGACCTTCTCGGTATGAAGGCCTAATGTTTGAGCAAGCCTAGTGGTAGTGCCAAGAAGAGTCCATGCCGCGTTAGACTGCCCATTGTTGAGGATGGTGTTGCCGATTATGACAAGGGCTTGGATAACATGGAGTGATGGCCGGCAGAGGAAATTGGCCAGGCGAAGCGCCTGCATGGCTCTCCGAACTATGAAGATTATGATTGCATTAGTAAAGGCGACGTAGGGTAATTACAAGACCTCATCTAGGAGCCCTTACTGAAAGCGGAGCACAAGTCTGATCGAGCAGGCGACGGGAGATCAGAGAAGTGAGCCCCAGCGGCAAGTGTGGCCAGCAGCAGGCTGACGTACACCATTCCCCCATTCGAAGACCATAAATCGCTGGGGTTATCTGCATTGCGTAGGCAGCCGGAAGCTAGGGCCGAAAGATACGTGCACATGTCGGATTCGAATCTGTCGATATCCGCTATTATGGGGTTGAATTGATATACAGACGTGCGGTAGACAGGGAAAAACCTGGACATGTCAGCTGCCGGTTCACCTTGCAGATCGGAGAGCTCGGACTTTAATACTTCTTCGCGCTGCGGGACGACTTGCAGAAAAGCAGCCCATCGCGTCCGCGGAGTCTTGACCTTCAAGAAGGGATGAGTCTCGTATGTGTCACGCAAGCCAAGCACCGAGGCCGCTTCGTGCATCATGGACTCGTCCGGGCTGTGTATGCAGCACTGCAAAATGGATGGCAGAGAATTACCGCCAGAGTAGGTGTATCTGTTTAAGCCGTCGGACTCCCCCGTCTGCGGGACGGCGCTGAGGACGGAAGGGGGGGCAGGGCTCTCTTCGTTTTGTGAGGGGGACTCGGGCGGTGGCCCGGCCGGTCCCCCGGCCGGAGATGCAGACGGCGGCCAAGTCATAGGTTGGCCCTCCGAGCGCCCCGTGCTCCGAGCCGCACCGTAGCTGTACGAGCATATCTGTGGATGTCCTCGCTTCCGGCACGTGTGACATGGGCGACCATGATCACACTTGACCTTTCGCTGGCGGCATGGAAGGCATGATCTTGGTAACGTTCTCCGCTTTGACCTCAGGACTCGGTTGATTTCTTCTTGGTCGATAGCATCATTTACGGCAGAGTCCATGGTTAAGCTCAATCCACCGAATACAGGAGTATTATTGAATGAGTAAGAACTTGGCTTATTGCCAAGCTGGGGGATTCCACCTCTCCCTACGCCCGATCACGTGGCGCAATCTATTAAGCGAGAACTTAATATGTACGAGCTAGACTGTGATGCCGACGTCTCCGGTCCGTCTGGCTTAACCCCCCGAGACCCCCCGAGTCAATGCTCGGCCCCGAGCGCCTCCGGGTAGCCCGACTTGGCTTCAACTTTGGCAGCTAGGGACCGACAAAACCGAGCATAGCCTAATACGTGCATTGAGCCTCGAGGTCATGTTATATTTAACAAGAGTCATGCTCTGCCTTCTTTGCCAGCACACAATTCCAATCATTCTCACTCAGCGATTAGATGTGCATGGCCAGAATGGACTCAACTAGCCCAGCTCTCAGCTTTCGTGCGTTTGTCGATGCCCTCAGGGAAGACGACGACCTCGTTGAGATCGATGCTCCTGTTGACCCAAACCTCGAGGCTGCCGCCATCACCCGTCTTGTCTGTGAGACCGATAATAAGGCTCCGCTCTTCAACAACCTCGTGGGCGCCCAGAATGGCTTCTTCAGGATTCTTGGGGCACAAGCCTCGCTACGCAAGTCGCCCAAATACCGGTTCTCTCGTCTTGCTCGTCATTTAGCCCTACCGCCTGACGCAACTATGCGCGACATCATGCAAAAGCTACAGCAAGCAGCACATCTCCAGGCCATCCCGCCCACCATTGTCTCTACTGGCAGTTGCAAGGAAAACAGCATTGAGGGCGATGACATCGACTTGGACAGCTTACCATCGCCGATGCTCCATCAGTCAGATGGTGGCAAATACCTGCAAACTATGGGCATGCACATCGTGCGGTCTCCGGATGGCACGTGGACAAACTGGTCTATTGCTCGGGCTATGGTCTGTGGCAAGCGTGACCTGACAGGGATAGTGGCTGGGATTCAGCATATCGGGAAGATCTGGGCACAATGGAAGGAGAGAGGCGAAGACGTGCCATGGGCTTGCGCCTTTGGCGTACCCCCCGCCGCCACCTTGGCCTCGTCTATGCCTCTTCCCGACGGACTGAGTGAGGCCGACTTTGTTGGTGCGTTGACAGGATCGTCAATGCCGCTTGTAAAGTGCGACACCAACGACTTATATGTCCCGGCCGACTCTGAGATCGTTCTGGAGGGTACAATCTCTACCACCGAGACCAGACCCGAAGGCCCCTTCGGTGAGATGCACGGATACGTCTTTCCGGGAGATAGACACGAGTGGCCCAAGTTCACGGTCAACAAAATCACCTACCGTGATGATGCCATCTTGCCGATCTCTGCATGTGGTAGACTGACTGACGAGACTGTAAGCTCACCAATTTGATCATGTTGAATACCGAAATGCATACTGACACGACACGCACCATAGCAAACCATGATCGGTCCCCTGGCGTCCGCAGAGGTCCTGAAGCTGTGTCAAGAAGCCGGCTTGCCCATCACTGCTGCATTTGCTCCCTTCGCAGGTCAGGGCATTTGGATTACTCTTCAGGTCGACACAGCTGAGCTGCAATCGATGAACACCAGCCCGAAAGCTTTCATGAAAACTGTCGGCGATTTGGTCTTTCATCACAAAACCGGCTTCTTTTTCCACCGCCTGATTTTGGTCGGGCCTGACATTGACATATATAACGACAAGGATATTTTGTGGGCGTATTCCACGCGGTGTCGCCCAGGTATGGATGAACTTTTATATGATGATGTCCCGGGATTTTTCTTGATTCCGTTCATGGGGCGTGGTCATGGACCACACCACGAAGGAGGAAAGGTTGTATGTTCTGCATTATTGCCATCGGAGTACACGAGCGGGCAGGACTGGGAGGCTGCTGATTTTGAACACTCATACCCCAAGTCGGTAAAAGAAAGGGTGCTTAAAAATTGGGATCAGATGGGATTTGACAAGCTGAACTAAGGGACTGAGTAGTGAGGCTATGTCCTCTTTTTCCAGGCTACCCTTGATATAAAGCATAAACATTAGCTTCTCTCGAGCGTCTGCCATGTATTCTGTGCCCTGAAGACGCTAAACCGTTCGCCTGGAAATAAATGCGAAGTCAAGATGCTGAAACGTCTATTAAGCTTGAAGAGTGTGACACATGTGTATCACCCAGACAAGGTTCCTATGTCTACCATGTCTTAGAATAGCAAAGCCCTAAGGTCCATCCTGCAGGTACTCCAACCCTCCTCGTCGAGCATTGACTGTGAACAATCAGTCAATTCAGCTATAGACAGCGAGGTTCTAGACCCTGACTAGCCTACGCACAGCCGTCTCTAAGCACCCGGTTCAGGCGACAGGAATTGCATCTCAGAAGCCCTGGGTACTGTCTAGAGCAGATGAGAGCCTATAAAAGGGCTTCAATATCCGCTGTAATGCTTTCAAGAGCGGCAAGGATTTACTAAGCAAGAAAGGCGTAGTGTATCTGCGTGTAGCAGTTGATTTACTTCTGTCAATGGAACGACCGGCCACACATTGGATCGATCCTTTCACCTTCTTTCTTCCCCTCTGCCTTGTATATCAATGACTTCCAATTTGCATTATCAGCACCATGTCTAACTCGACAAACACTGACACGCCGACCAGCACCAGTAGCTTAGCAGCCGCCGCAGTGCACAAGAAGCCTTCCCCAAGAGTCAGTGGGGTCTGGCGTGGCTTTGCGCAGCGATACGCCAGGCAGTGACCCAACAGACCCAACAATCAAACAAGCAAAAGCATTTATAACTTAGGGTAACCTGATCTGGCTAACCTTTAGTATTGGGAGCTTTCAGGACTATACCAACCAAACTCACTTTGTAATCAGTCCCGTACACTTAATCTCCACATCTGTCGGCGAGGGAAGTTCCTTAACAATCACGCATCTGGTGTTGCAGTGTCAATAATCTGCATAGAGAGATAAATCAGGTTCATGTCACTTACGTGCGTGCGGGCTTGAGTTCGCCAAAATACTCGAGATAGACTTCATTCATGGCGGCAAAATCATCCCTTGTAGTAAGGAAGACATCCACCTCTACCACATCGTTCAAACTAGAGCCGGCTGCTTCAAGAACACGTCCCAAGTTCTCGATGGTTTGGCGCTACAGCAATCAGATATCAGTCGGACCAAAGCGATCAAGGTCGTGCGTTCGAATATTTACAGTGCGATCTGTGACTGTCCCACTGACCATCTGACCAGTTGCCGGATTCTTGCCAATTTGACCAGAACAAAAGACGAAGCCATTGGCCACAATGGCTTGACTGTAGACCTCACGAGGCGCTGGGGCCTTGTCAGTCAGGACAGGGGTTCGGGTGGGCATGATGCTGGGAATAACAAAGAGTGAAGAAACACAGACTAGTTGCTTGCTTATCTGGGATATTCCTTTGCGTTTTATACGTCATATCCATTACTTGGAGTAGACACCAATTGGTTCGTCTCTGGCTGTTGACACTCGGGGGCGGCACCCGAGCCCCCGGGGTCTCCATCCGATTATCTCGGCATCTCGGACCTCTGTTGCGGGGAGAATTCCTAACCACTTCTTGGTGAGAAGCTGGAGAGGTGGTTTCTCGCTTGGTTGTTTCTTTCGCTTGCTGAATTACATGTTGTATTTCATTGAAATAATGGCTATCTACGGGCATCAGGCACTGCCAGTTTACGACTTTGCTGGCAGTCAATGACGATGTCTCGAGAGTTTCCCAATCCGTAAGTCGGCATGTTGCAGCCAAGTCGGCTATTTGGAAAACAAGTTGCCCCACCCAGGACTCGACTTCGGCTTAGTCTCTCATTGGCGTCTCTGGTGGGCTTACTCGAATGTGGGACTTCCTCGGGCGCTGTGGCCGAGGTTTGATAAGGTAAATACAATGGTGAGCCTACAAGACACCAGGCGAGCAAAAACGCATGGTTTCTGAGTTGAACCATAAGCTACAGACAACCTTAGCCACGTTCACATTCCGTTCTTCACCAGCAAAGATGTTGCGTCAAAAGCACTACGTCGTGATCGGTGCCGGCGTCTCCGGCCTGACTACCGCCTTCGAGCTAAAGCGCCGTGAGCGTTCGGCACAAGTAACAATCTTGGCGAAGCAACTACCTGGTGACACCGATCACACCTACTGTTCGGCTTGGGCGGGGGCGAATTGGGTCTCAAGTGCTACTGATAACGGCGCGCAGGAGGACTGGGACCGGGCAACTTATCTCGAACTTGAGAAGCTGTCCCGCACACGGCCAGAAACGGGGGTCCGGAAGATGACGCTGCGATCAGTCTATGATGAAGAGATTGACAAAGTTGGTATTCTGAGCAAACGTACTGGGAAGATCTGGTATGAAGACCTTGCGGGTCTTCGCTATTTGAAGCCCGATGAGCTTCCAGAAGGCGCCAAATTTGGTTATGACATATCTACATTCATCATCGACGCATCGCGGTATCTTCTTTGGTATGCATTTCTCGATGTGGATTATGATGCGATTGCTAATAGTGCTCAGGCTCCATGGCGAGGTGAAACAGTTGGGAGTCAATATCCAACAGATTGTGGTCGATAACATCAGCGACATTCCGCAAACAATCCCAGACGTCTCTGCAGTGTTCAACTGCACTGGTCTCGGGGCCTTTTCTCTAGGAGGAGTCCAAGACAAAGCTGTGTATCCCTCAAAGGTTCAAGCATTCCTTACGCAGCGCATCTCTGGCTTTGCTAATCGGATGACATAGGGCCAAATTCTGGTAGTGGAAGCTCCCCCTGGAGGCATTACCAGAATGGCTTTCAGATCCCAGCATAGACTTGGGTCCTACAATACGCATGTTTTTCCTCGGGGAGAGAATGCTGCAATTCTGGGTGGTTGCAAGTTGAATGATGATTGGAGCGGAACCTTCGATCCAGAGATCGGCGAGCAGATCAAGCGTCGATGCTGCGCACTGGTACCTGAACTCGGGAAGCCAGAAGACCTGAAGATTCTGAAACAGGGGGTGGGACTTCGACGTAAGTGTGGTTATAGTCCATAATGACACATATACTGACATCCGAGCAGCTTGTAGAAAAGGAGGTCCTCGGGTAGGAAGAGAGGAAAAGGACGGCATGACTATCATCCATAATTATGGAGCAGCAGGTGCAGGGTACCAGGCATCTTGGTAAGGTTCTTCCCGAACGTCACTTGAAAATCTTCTTCTAATCTGTGTATTTACCTCAGGGGCATGGCCAGGGCGGCAGTAGATCTCCTGGGGCGGGCAGCGAAGCTATAAACGGTGAACTGGTTGACGTGATGCGCAAATGAGTCGAGGACTCTGAGACAGGGTTAAAAGTCCACTGGCTGCTCGAGTAGAGTATGTAAATTATAGTCCACTAGATATCTAAGGACAGTGGATCAACCAGAGGTTGCCGTGGACCAAGGTAGACTGGCAAGTGTTTCAATTTGTAATTGCGAAGCTATCCTAAATCCCTTGCCTAACGACGCACCCTATTCCAGGCTGCGGGCGAGACTATGTAACGATGGTACAAGGTTCCCAAGGGGATCTTTCCCCGCACACTGGCGATCACGGATAGGTCGGCAAAATGTGACGTCGCTTACCCCCCCCCCCCCCTTAACCCCCCCGATCCCTTGCGTTTATCATCGGCCTATTGTGGCCCTCAGCTGCCACAACCGTCAATACCCTCGGCTACCAACGCGTCTTTTCGGTCGGACCGGAAGAACCAAACTCTCGCGTTTCTACTTCCGGCGGTGAGTTTGGGCGAACTGGCCGGCGTATTTTGGAGCTTTTTCCAGTGAGGCACAGCTTGCTCCCGACAACTCCAACGCCAACTCCAGATCATGAGCAACAACGAAAAATATCCACAGGCACGCAAAGGCAAGCAAGATGCCAAGCAGTCGCGGAAGCGTGCCCAGAATCGAATTTCGCAACAATGCCGACGTGAGCGTGACTCTGCCAGAGCACGGCATCTCGAACATGGTCTTACAGCAATCCAGTCGACGTCCAACCTGGACTGCGAAGACCGATATTCTGCCCTTGTTCAGTCGCACCTGAGACTTCTTGACGACAACGAAAGTCTCCAGGAGGCCTTGTTCAACTTTCGGAAGCGTCTCCTCAGCATGAGCAATGCCGCCGCTGCCGCCGCCGGTATTCAGCCTGTCAAAAAGTCCCACGCAGAGTCATGCTAACCAAAGCCTGGCAGAGGAACCCGTCTTCGACTTGTTGCTAGACAAGCACAAGATAAAGGGAGACCGATCATCTGTATCGTCCAAGCAGTTGGACGGGCCAGACTCGTTCAATGCGTCTGTTGGTGCCACAACAAGCCAGCCTGAAGCCACGACTGCAGATGCCAACTCTTGGAATATCAGCTGCAATATCCCAAGCCCTTTCTCATACAACCCTGGCCTGGGTCTCCCTCTCAACGATTTTGCGGGTGCTACCACACTAAATCTTGGAACCAACCTCTCCACGCTAGAAAGCTCCGTGGCATTCAGTCATGAAGCCCCGACACTATTTGATATCCTGCCACAGATCGGCACGCATCATACTCACGTTCGATCTCCAACTGAGTTTGCCGACAAAGTTCTGAGTGCTTGTCGGCAATACCTCGAGGATGAGATGAGTGCGACACCCGCAGGTCTCACGCTTTCACTGCGAGAGATACAAAATGAAGTCTTGTATCAGCAAGTATCGACAGCCGCAATACGGTTGCTCAGCCGTGCTGCCGGAATTGAGTCTTATGTGTATCACATTGTGAGTTTTTGGTACCTATCCTTTCAAGTCAGATAGCTATTAACAGCTTATAGGGTCGTGCAGATTACCTCGAGAAAATAGTACGATGGCGGTTAAGTGCTCTTCCAGATGATGGTACCACCATCCCGCAGCCTTTTGCGCCAACTCGTCTACAACATCGACAAAACGGCAGAGTACTAAAACACCATCTGCTGATCGATTTCATCTGTTGGCCGGAAATCAGAGATCAATGCATTGTCAATGCCTCGAGACTGGACTTGGACGAACTACAGCGCGACATCGTCCTCAATACTGTCATCGAAATTCCACCATACGGCCTGGCGCTTAATGTGTTTGATTTCGTCAACAATTGGATTGATATACACCACCATTCTTCTACCTATGTCAGGAATGCCGATTGGACCTTTTTCAAGGCGAACGAAAAAGCGGACAGCTCTGCCATAGATCGTGATCCAATCGAGGGAGCGATATTACAAGAGCTGAGGTGCATTATTCACAAACATACTGCAGCAATCTCCGAGCTCGCAACGGCCACAGATTCAAGCATGAATACGGCGTACGAGGCGTCAAAATCTACACTTACTGCTGCTTCTTGGCGTGAAGGATGCACAAGAAGCGACGCCATGGCAGCTGGCAGAGGGCCGGAAGCAGACGCTGTGAATTTTCTGTCAGCACAAGACACCAGTACCTGGAAGCTGAGCAAAAGCTTTGCAAGAAAATATCATATGATTGAATGTTCATCAGGTAAGAAATCCTAGCACGAAGAATTAAGCATTCATTACCTACCTATGCGAATGCTGTTTGTTTTATCTATGAGTTGTAATGTGTTTTTATCTTCTCTATGCTAACGAAGCGGATTAAAAAGCTCTTTCTAGGTATGAAACCGCTATGGACTTAGACTTTGTTAATATGGTATTAGAAATAGGAGATATGCATAATAAGAGCATAGTTTAGGGCTAAGAGTTAATAAGTTAAATAAGCTTTCTATAGATATAAATTTATTCTTTTAAGTGAAATATAATATATAATACTTAATTAAATACTTTTTATAATTATTATATAATTCCTTAGATCGTAACTAATATGCCGCTCTCTACTAGGTAATTAACTATCTATTACTAATTTCTTAGCCTTTAATAATAAAAATATTTATTATATCTAAATCCAAGCTTTATTATTATTACCTAGAAAATAATTTAAGATATTATACCTAAGGGCTTAGTCTAAGTAATTTATTACATTATTAAAAATAATAGCTAGAGGCTCGACTGGGCAGGTTTAGCTAACTATGACTTATAGATAGACTATAGCTAATTGCTAACAATGCGATAAATATCAAGCAATACTATAGCATCGGCAACGAAGATACACTTAGAAATCTCTTCGCATCTTACCTATAACTTTCTAAGCTTTCCATAGCCTCATAGATCGCAGGGACGCCATAGGAGCTCTGTCTCGATCACGAGATATACCCTTTAAATAATTCCCTATCTAAGCAAATATAATTACAATAAGTAAGAATACATATATTAAGCTATAAAACTAATCTACTATTATTCTCCTCTCTACTATAATCTACCTTATAGCCCCTAACTATAATAAGGGCTAACTTTAAATCTGACTTAAAGTTAGTATATAAGGTCTTCGGGGGGGAGGAGAGACTAACTATTGAGATTATTCAGTGGTACAAACGAGTGCGCGAATGGCAAGAGATAGGGCTACCCACCACGCAACCCAGATAGCTACTAATATCCTCGTTAATACGGTATTCTTTCTAATGCTATCGAGTGAACTAATAAGCCCCAGGGTTAGAATCCGAGTTCGCGATATACAAACTATCGTCTAGGAACAATATTCGAGTCTATCCTTATACGAAAGGATATCTTAATCACTAGAACTCTTATTAACCGCGATAAATTCGATAGATATATACCTATACCAGCACTTATTAAACTCTTCGACGAGAGGCAGATTCCATATCTCGTCAAATAAGCGTATGATATCCGAATTAGCTTCTTAGCCTTATCTAGAACTTCCCTACTGTCTTTAGATATGGAAGTGGTTCTCCGAGGTCATCGGCTTTGATATCATGTATAACACGAACGGCCGAGGTTAGAGCAGTTAGATATCCCCCTCTGAGGTTGAATAACCCTTCATGATGCCTCTAGGTATGAGTCTTCTACTGCAGTCCATGGGCAGTAGCAAGACCCAAAAAGACCACTGTGCTAGCATTAGGATATGATACTATCATATGTTGATATCGCGTTCTTTATTGTAGTGGAAGCGCGACCCTTGATAGCTTAAATGAGCCAGAGGACCGTCTTACACGAATCGCTTCAAGCCCCCTCTGTTCCGGCCAACAAGACAGATTCCCCTAGGATCAATCTTCAATGCTGCCTTCAATTTAATCGACAACAAGAGACTAGAAGAGTTCCAGTTCCTTTATAAAAGCATTCAGCAATTATTAGAATAGCAATCAATTTAACAACCAGACGTTATTAGCACCGACCTTGCCGATTCAAGCAAGGGAATTGCTATACGAGCATGACTTTTGTAACTTCTCATTGGAAAGGACCCTCTGTTGTTAGCACATCTCGGTTCTACCGACAGCTCTAATCTGTACCTCCAGTGTCGCATAGCAAGCCCTGGCCCGCCCCACTAGACCAACTGCTGTTGGAATGGGGATAGCAATGAGGTAAGGATCACTCTCATCGTGAACTTGTTCACGATGAGAGTGACCGACCACAATTAGCATCAGACAGCAGGCTGCTGCCTAAACAGGCAATACTTTCATTTGTGTATAAAAGAGCTGACCAGTCTCGGTGCATCCTCTCGAGAAATTCTTGCTCTTTAGATAATTCCTATCAATTTACTGATGCCATCTCTGATCCCTGTGGAGCCAATTGTCTGTGTTGAGATCCATTGTTTAACGGATCAATGGCTATTCTGATCTATTGGTGGTGAGGATGTGGATGTCTTCTTGTCAATAGTTTCCGGTGGTTAGCACTAGTCTTTCCTCTTCTTTAATCAACACAACATGCTCATTTCAATAGTCTGACATCCCGTTTTCATCCCTTAGTGACTAACGGGACGCTCTCCATCTAATAATTAGCTATCCATTGCTAGTCTCCTAGCCCCGAATGATAAGAACCTTCATTAAATCCCAATCTGAGCCTCCTCATAGCTCAGAGGGCAATTCAAGACGCCGAACCCGAAGGCCTAGCCCGAGTAATCAATCATATCATCAAAAATAATAGCAGCAGGCCCGACTAGCCAGGTTTAGCCCGCCACTGCTTACGGATAGACCATAGTTAGCTTCTCTACAAAGTGGAAGAAATACAGGGATATATGCCAGCGGTCAGAGGACGCAACCAAGCATCTAGAGGCGAAAGGTTCAATAGGAGATAGTTAAGGGCGATAAGGAGGTTCTTTCTTATATAATAATTAGGAAGTAGAGGTATAGATAGCTACCTTGGAGGGCGTAATAGAGTTAGCCTTATTTCGTATAGAAAGCTAGACCTTATTTTAACGCCTATGCGAGACTTGTTTAAGGGGACTGGCTCGACTGAAAGGGAGATTTTGTTAGCGAAGCTAGCTTCACCGCCTTTGCGGGGATATATCTATGGTTCGACGGGAATCTAGCGAATCAGAAGTTACAAAAGTTGTGCCCTTGTAAGAGTTATGCCTATGTAGCAATTCCCTCAATAAAAGCTACCCTAAATAACCAATCCCCGAGGTATAGCAGCAGCTCTGCATCCACCATATCAATTCCAATATCTTACTTAGGTCAAAGCAGATATAAATCAAGGATTACACTAAGATAGTAGTAGTAGCAGTCTTGATATTAGCTATGGTGAGGCACTTGCCCCGTAGTCATAGGCAGACCTAAGTCCTAAAAACCGACTGTTCATCTACGCACAAGCAGCCGAGATTATTCCACATAACTTTCGAGGGGGTGTGTGTAATATGGAAGCTTATACTCTTCGCCGAGACTAAAGAGGCTCACGAGGTGGCATAGATCAGCATTTGTCGGGAGTTTAATAGCCAGCGGGTTATCCTGCGATGCAGGATCAATCCTGGGTAGCGAGTCAACCGAGAAGTCGATGAAGCTGGTAGTGAGGAGCGGGCTGGGTTCAAGAGGAGACTCGGAGGTCCAGTGGAGGACAAATTCACAGAACGAAGAAATTTAGACAACTAGGGGGTTTCTCTATTTATTCTCGGTTTCTGTGAACGACAACGCCCCAGAATGGGGACCCATCTACAGATTCCCGCCTCTAGCAGACATGCCAGGCAGTCGAACATGACAGTTCAATGTTTGACACGAATAATGGCTCGACGGTACGATGCTAGCGGCGGTGTGCCGTTGTCAACTCCCCGCAAGATGATGTGAATGTCCTGTCCAGCCGCACAAGGAGGTATCTCAACTGAGACAGTCTTGGACTTGTTACCGTGGAGCTTGACCGGCTTCGTGTAGCCTGTTCCTGCGTCATGGTGCCAGCTATACGTGATCTTGTTGCCGTCCGGGTCGCTCGAGCCTTGGGCGCTGAGGCTGACTCGACCCCTGTTTACCCTGGCCTTGACCACAACCGGGTCATAGCTACCAACCCTGTTAAGCACGAGATTGGGATTTCGGTTACCAGACCCATGAGTGGCCCAGTCCATGCGCGAGAAGAAATTGTTGAGCTGGTCCTCCATGGTGTCGGCCATGGACGCGACACTCCTGTTGGCGACCGCCTCTTCGTTATCCGAGTATACACAGGTCACATTGTCCGGAGACAAGTTGTAGGCGAATTGACCTCCGAAGCTCGCTTGAGTTGGATCTTGAGGGTCGTTCAGCCCTGGCCAGAGGTAGGTGAAGCTGGGCGTGTCTCCCTCGACACCATAGCGGAAATTGGGATACAGCTTGCCCAGAGCGCCATGCTTTTGCACCCCCCTTTGAATACGCGGCCAGTACACGTCGCGGTTTGAATTGGAGTAATAAGACCAAGCGCGCTCGTTCCAGATGTAGAACAAGTGTTTGAAAGTCTGACGTAGCCAGAACGCGGAGCTCTTGGTATAAGGGTCGTAACGGTCTTTGTCCTGATCGATGATGGAGTGAATTCGGAATTTGCTAACAAAGGCGTCGACTTCTTTGGCGGATCGATTATGCTTCACTTCCAAAAAGGCTTGGGCAAGACTGTTTGCGCCACCCCAAATGGTGACGAACACCGGACGCGGGTCGGGCTGATCCGCGACGTCGACAATATGCTGAGTGCCAGCGTTGCCCTTGCCTAGTCCAATGGAAGCATTGCCACGGGTCTGCATACCCTCTCTGGTGACGCTCCGGAGATACTGAGGACTAGGCCAGTAGCCGCTAGTTTGCACCGTTTCGTCGCGGAGAAACCGGGTCTGCTTGCTACGCTTCGATAGGTTGGGCAGATCCTTCTCGTACGCGTCGATAGCCTTGAAGACGAGGTTTGTGGCAAGAGGTTCGGAACCGTTGTAGCTGGCGCCGCTGGTAGAGATGATTCCCTCAATCTCGAACAAGTCGACGCTAGCCAGGAGATGAACGAGAGACTCCAAGTCATCGGGCTCATGTGTGGGAGGGCTGATGTCGGTCAACACCAGAAGGCGCGGCTTCAGGGGCGCCTTGCCACGGTGGGCGGGGGGGGACGCTACCGCAAATCTCACAGCCGAGAGCGAAAAACAAAGGTTGGTGATGAATTCCCACCGCATATTGACTGTTGAGAGTGGACGAGAGGTTTGAAGGCTATCTGTGTGTTCTGTTGACTGCACCAATGCTACTTATAATGGAAAACTTGAAGCGCTTGGTCTTTCTACATTCGGCAGGATCGTGGGGAATCGGCCCTTGGTCAAGGAGCAACACGCCATTGTCATTCACATCGTGGGACATGGAGCCTAGATTCCTGTGAGCGGATGGGACTCCCCAGATTCTAAAGCAGTAAGAACTGTCTGAACCTGCATGATCCCGGTCGGTCCAGGCGGGGGAAGAGCTAGGTTTAGCAAGCTAGCGTGGGAACCGTCTCGTTGGCGCGGTGATCGACTGGAGCGATTCGCGGGATAATATGATTAATGAAGTCATCCTCGGGTAGCCAGCCCGAGTCCCTCCACATCCCGAGAAATTCCCCCTTGTTGGATGACCGGGCGGGGGTGGAGATGGCTTTCGGTCGGCACCTTGGAGCGGCAGTGTTTACTAATTTATTCCCCGGATCGACGTCGATGGAAGACATAAGCACCATGGCGTGCCGCCGCCTGGTCAAGGGCTGATATTGGGTTGTTAGTTGGCAGTTGTAATCAAGCAAGGTAGTATTACATCAAGACACGGACTAGAGTCAAAACGTACCAAAGACGGCAGGGACAAGGCAAAGGTACTTTATTGTGGTGATGGGGGAGGAATAAAAATAATTCGGGACACCTTCTCCTTACACCTGGAAAAGGGTTACAAATCCGAGGTGCCGAAGTATCTGTAGGAAAGCTCACAGCAGGTATAAACGCGTTGGCTTCTCTAAGAAAGACAGCGTAGAGGTGGACGAGATCAAAAACCTTCTCAACAGCTATCCGCCTTGACAGGTTGTATTGTGTTGGTTACGGAGTGGGGGGTATCAAGTCCGGACATGGTCTCAAAGCTCGGACAAAGGAGTAGACACAGATCTACTTGATGGGTATGACGGAATATGAGATTCGATGTCCGGTACTCCTTGGTTGAAGAGGGAGTTCAGGGGTTCTATTTTCCCGGCCCGCAATGGAGAGGAAAGCAGGCATTTCAGGTAAAGCCACGAAAACAATGGACATGTATCGCCCTCTGCTTTACCGCCAAATTGGGTGCAGTCTGTCATGAGAGCCCTCATGAAGGCTACAGAGCGCCATAGATGTTGTGTTCTGATGTGACTTCTCGAACTTCATCGAGGTAGGTGGACAAGGGCGTTGGTTTAGTCATTAGTTGGGTGAGACAGTGATAGTGAGAGTGGTGGTACCGAAGTAGCCGAAGACAAATTGCCGGGGAGTGACCCGCCGAAGCCTTCCGCCTTTCTCAGCAGGCGATGTGCTATCTAGGGGACCTTGGCCCTGTTTCCATGCGAGCTGCCAGTGCCTGTTGGCAGAATGACATCGCTAGTATATTGGTTAAATCAGGCTGCGGTGGAGATGGTCGGGGCGGTCGTCAATTTTACAAACTGGGTTATGTTACTTCTGTCGTCTGAACCCGCATGTATCCCTTCACCTTGTGATTCGCACGACATGGAACTTAGAATATGCAGTAGTCAATTCATGAAGTTGCAATTTAATGTCAATAATGCAGTTGTTACTTGGGATGGCCCTGAGAGCACCATCTAGAGCTAAATTGCCCCACGTTCAACAAATCGAAGTGGCATGTTTACATATCGAGCCCCTATATGATACAGTAACGTGTCAGTGACATGACAGACTGCTGTGACCATTGAGGCCGATACCGAGTACTCTGCGGAGGGAGGAAAACAAAAATTCAGCACTGAAACTAGGAAACTTACGAAGGAATTCGCCAACGCTCTTGGCAAGACCGTCGAGTCGAGGCGTAGAACTGATCCCACCATCCAAAATGCCCTTGATGCGGAAATGAACGCATCGAATGTTTGGCAGCTCAAAGCGTTCCAGAGTCAATCTGGAATCATATTCGTCGCCCAGCAGTGTCTTGAATGTCAAGAGACTTAGGAATGAGCGAAGCCATTCGTACTCGTCGTCTTCTTGAACCCATAGCCCAACATTCGCATTGGATCCTTTGTCTCCCGACCGGGCATGTACCCTAGTGCCGAGACATACCTCTTTGGTAGGGCCGTAATTGCCCGAGACATCAGGCGGGGTAGCATCTGCCATTTTCTGTCCAGTGAAAGGTGCTGTGTTTGGAGGACTCCCAATTTCCGCCACGCGGTCTCCAAGTACAGCTCGTACGCTTAACTGATCATACTTGATGAGGAATGGTAGATAGGCCACATATGGCTTAGGTTCCATCTTTGAAACGTTAGTTGAATTTGAGCAGATTCTGCGATGGTCAAGAAGGGTTTCCATACCGTTCGGAAATCCATATTTAGGTGCATCCCGGGGAAGCCCCCAAGCCAATAGCCCATCAAAACCTCTTGTACCCGACGGAGGGGCTCTTGTCGAGAGGATTGAGCGAAAATTCGAAATTGACAGGTTGCCAAGGCCTGGGATGCGGGATTCTCCTGCGGAACACCATATTGGTCGATCCGGAAGGTTTGGTAGTCAGATTTGTCCGGGATGTTGTAGTCAAATGCCCCCTTCAACGCAGCCAACTTTTCCTTTATATCCAGACCAACAGCGTATACCGAAGTCTCGCACTGGTAGCCTCCGATAGAGCATGTTGCAAGCTTCGTGGTTGGTGGAGGCAGCAGACCGCGAATTCCAGTGACAGTGACTCTTCACCACATGTCAGTGGCGTTCCTGCAAGGGCTTGTAGAGACTGATTACCTATTCTTTCCAGTGTCCCTGATCTCAATGTTCGTAATGTCCGCGATCACGTCAGGGTTCAGGTAGAAGGGTCCCTGCATAATGCACTTAGCATCTGAGTGTTCACAAAGTCGGCTCTAGCTTACTTGGATTTCGTACACAACTTGAGCGGTGATCGTGTCGCGACTGACCAGACCCTTTGCCTGGTCCTGAAGAAAGATGTGGAATTTGCCATCTGCTTCAATCTCGGCGATCGGAAACCCCTGGTTTTGGTTCTCGGGGATGCTCTTGAAGCCGGAAAAGTTGCCGCCAGTGGCATAGCAGCCACATTCAATACAATCTACCCGAAAGTTAGCGCGGGGATAGTTCATCAGTTCGGGTGCCCCGGCTGTTTTCAGGACAAGAACTTACGGCCGGCGATAAGAGAGCCAGCAAGCTCTTTCAGGTTTGAAGACTTCCATCCGTGCCACCAAGCGGCCGCACCTGTCTCTTTGATGAGTAGTTGAACAGGCCGTCCTCTGGCGGTGGAACTCACCCATCACAGGACTAGCATCACAGCATCGTCCACAAATAACAATGTCAGCGCCGAGATCCAGGGCGGCGACGATGCCGCCCATGCCAAGGTATGCGTTGGCGCATAACATGTCTTCCTGAGCCGCCGCTAGGGTAATGCTGGCGTCGTCAAGATGAACGAGTTCGCTGGACTGCTTCAGGGTGTCAATCATTCCAATAACGTCATCCCCTTCGACGTAGGCAACTTTCAGAGAATCTATGCCGTAAGACAATAGCTGCTCCTCGATGGCTTGAGCTAGTCCTTTGGGATTCAAGCCGCCTCCGTTGTGGATGATCTTGATACCTTTCTCCACGACTGTTTGCGCCACTTCCTTATCAAAGGCTTTCAAAAACTCCTTGTCAAAGCCTTTGGTGGCATCCTGCCTCCTTTCAAGAGCTTGCCAGGCTGAGGGGGAAAATCGCGTTAGCCGTCAAGTCACCAATTCTCATCAGGAGAACGCTACCTATGTTGGCTTCGGCGAGGTAATCAGCCGTAACGAAGTCCACGGAACCTTCTTTGACAACCCGGCGAAGGGCGTCAGGGCCATCGCCTATGCGATGATGATGATGAGAAACACTGGTTAACAAGTTGACAACGGCTCAATTGGGACAAGCTTACCAGTGGCCCCACTGCAGTTGGCAATTCGTACGGGAGCGGGCATGTTGAGTCGACTGGACGTATTTTTTAGACGTCGAAGAGTTATAATTGATGAACAGTTTAGAGAAGTGAGTTGTGAACTTGTCAAAATATATCTTGGAATTGGCCAAGCTTGAGGTTTCGCAAACGGGTCGTTTTTATTCACCATCTGTAAGACGTACGTCACTGATGCTCACGTCCCACCTCTTGTAGGGATCCTCAGGGTTAATCTCCCTTTGCAGTCTAGCGCAAGCGCAAGGAGGCCATTCGCGTCAGAAAAATCTTGACATCTCCGCAACGTGTCTGTTGAATCTGTCAGAAAAGTCCAACACTTTTGTGGGGTTCCCTAAGCATGTCAGAAAAGTCGGACGGGGACAAGATGCCCACATTCGGACAAGGAGACAGAGGGAAGACCGTAGCAAGCAAGTATGCATTGCTCCAGAGGCTGCGCCCCAACACTTCGTTTCATGAAGAATATCAAGGGAATACCGTGGTCACGAGTATATCTATATATATGCACATCGCTCTCCTCAGAGTCTAATTAATTCCCTTACTATCGCTACCCTGACAGCTACCACTCAATTCTATCAATTCCGTCTTTGAAGACAAGAAACACAACCATCAACCTATCGAACCAAAATGCCTCCTCAACAGCCTTCCCTCCAGGAAGAGTCGGCACGTGTCTTCCACGAATTCTTATTAAATGACACAAGGCTCGGTCTGCCAGCCAGGGTCCGCGAACTAGCCAAGAAGACTACCTTCGATGCGGGTACTGTGTCTGCACCATATATTCCTGCACCGCTCAAAATAACCGAGTCCAGCGCGGCACTCTGGGCCTTGGCGGCAACTTACGCAAACGCCATCGCGCATGAACGATACGGCATTGAGCAAAGTGTCACCGTCAACACCGACCTTGCGAGTCTCTTTCTAGTCTCCGGTCTCATCCCCCGCGTTGATGGGAAACCTTTGACAGATCCCGACCTTGCTGCGCGGTATGCCGTGTTCGATTTGGGTCGCATCTTTGAACGTTGGAGGTTCAACTGCACCAATGTCTACCCGACAAAAGATGGTCGCTTTTTCCACCTCCATGGTAGCCTGGACTCGGATAGAACTCTTTCTATGATGAAGCTCCCCCTTCATAGAACCGATATCACGGATGAGATGGAAATTATCCAGGAATATTGCAAGGCGGTTTCTCAACACAACAGCGAGTGGCTGGATATTGAAGCCAACGAGCATTGCCGACAGGCCGGTACTGTCTGTCTCACTCCCGATGAGTTCCATTCATCTGAGCAGGGAAAGGCCATCGCAAACGATGCCATCTATTCCACCGAACAATTCGACATAGACACGCTACCGCCTGTGCCGTACCCATCTTCGACAAAGAAACATCGTCCGTTGGAAGGAATCAAGATAATCGACATCTCGCGAGTCATTGCAGCGCCGACAATTTCGAAACTAGCCGCACTCTATGGTGCCACCGTGGTCAGAGTGTCTTGCGCATCCCAGCCTGAGCTTGGGATGTTGCTGATTGACGGCAATCTCGGCAAACACGACACGACAATTAACCTTAAATCCATCGAGGGACGAGAACAGCTCCTGCAGCTGATGCAGGATGCTGATGTGGTTGTTGATGGATATCGGCCTGGGGCATTGGAAAAGCTTGGTTTCGGACCTCGATACCTCCGAGAGGTAGCAAAGCGGCGACAGAAGGGAATCGTGGTCGTGAGAGAGAATTGTTACGGCTGGCATGGCCCCTACGTCCACCGAAGTGGCTGGCAGCAGATTTCGGACTGCTTCACGGGTGTTAGCTGGCTTGTTGGCAAATTCCTTGGGCTCGATGAGCCAGTGGTTCCATCTCTGCCTAATTCAGACTATCAGTAGGTTATCCCTTCCTTTCTGATTCGCTACGTTCCTGTATGCTAACCCTAATCTCAAGGACGGGTATTATAGGTCTAATTGGCATTCTTGCGGCGATCGACAGGCGGGCAAACGAAGGTGGAAGTTACCTGGTGGATATCTCACTCAACCAGTATAACCAATTCCTCCTTTCCCTTGGTGAGTATCCAAAGGCGGTACAACAAGCGATCCGAGCTCAGCACCTCGACCTCGAACTCCGTCATTACCATACCATCTTCGCTGCAACACAGAAGATGGTCAAGTCTTTGCAGACGTCGGTGCCGAGTTTGTTCAAAGACGAGTACTGGGATGAAATCGAGTCCAATTTTGGCAAGGAGGACGGAAAGTTGGAGACTTTGACCTACGTTCGACCACCTACAAAGTTTGAGGTAACTGAGCTTGGTTACGATGTTGGAAGCTGCTTTCCTGGTACTTACGAGCCTCGGTGGCCATGACTAATGTCTTAGCATATTCAGTAGGCTTTTACAACTAGATAGTTCTAAGAGGTTCCTTGCCCTTTATTAAAAGTAAAATGCTAAAAAATATGTATATTTTAAAAACCTAGGAACTTAAAAACTATACTTAAAATTTAATATTAAGAATGTTTTTAATAAAATATTATAGTAATATATTTAATAAGCTTATATTCTAAAAGTATATATTTTATATATATTTTTTTTTAAATATAAACACAAATACTCAGCTTTAATATAAAACACCTATTAGAATAGGGGTTTAAAATAAACTAAGAGAATAAAATAGCTTTTAAACTTTAAAAATATTAATAGTAATTTACCATCGCAAGGCCCTCGTAAACAGAGTTGAACAATGCAGACGTTGACTGAAACATGTCAAGATGGGACCTCGAAAGCATAAAATCGTGCAAGTTTTGAAGAGGAGGCAAAGAAGACTGTTGAGGAACAAGGCTTCGTCTAGCTATAACTTGGGGCAACAGGAGGAGGGTTTAGATAGACTGCATAATGGTTGTGGGTATCTGGACTTGTCAAGGCCTATCCGGCCGCGAAAGAGATGAAGAGTCTGACACGACACGAGGACATGCAATCTCTTGGGGATTCTGGCTGCTTGCTTCCTTAATGTCGACCGTTTGCTACGCGCATGAATTGGCATTCTGGCTGTTGTAGAATATGCCTGTAAGATGCCCGGCTAGCGGCTGCGACGAGCGATGACGAGCAACACCGTGGGCAAACCAGGCTTGATGACACGCGTATTACATATCACCCATGCTGATGAAGATGCTTAACCTAAAATTATTGTCAATACAGCTAGTACAAGACACAGAAGAACTATCGGCTTAACCAATGATAGATGAGTGCATCGCAAAACGAAGTGCTTGAGGTCAAAGAGCAGCTAGTTTTGTTTGACGAATAGAACTCTATAGAGTACTTGATGGCAGGAGTTGGGTCAAGTGCGAGAAGACGGTCGACTGGCAATGGTCTGTCCCCATCAAAGAATCAAACCTTACTCGCGTCTTGATACTGATTGCTGGGCGACCCTTTTCGCTGACAGACTCACTGCTGCGTGCTGCGTTTGCGCGCATGATAGTCAACGAATGACGCATAGGGAATGGAATCAGTTTGTATAATCAATAAAAGAAGACTCAAATCCTTAATCTCAAAGACACGCAGTTGTGGCGTGTGGTACTTCACTTGAACCGTCGATGTCCCGTTGAACTGTACGATACTTAGATGCCTCATCATCGTTGGCCCGAGAAGGAGGTTCGAAGACGATTAATTGCCGACACTGTTGTCGTCCGGGACCAACAAGGTCTAGAGCCAGAAATGGTCGGTTTTGTAATCTAGGACCGCCACTCAACTGATCAGGATGGAGAAGCCGGCAACCAAGTTGAATGATGTTAAGACTTCTTTGGGGGAAACGCATGTGCCTGCATTGACACTATCAGTCGGTACGATACTGGAGATAACTTCAATGGCTGGACGCCCATGTATTATGGGAGCGAGACCAACAGAGATGATATGCTTGAGTGACTAGACGACACCATACGCATACTTCTCAATGGCTAGGCGCCGAGTCGCGTTCCCGGTACTGGTATTACCAGTGACATGGTCTTGTTTCAACTTGGCCATAGAACTCGAAAGTTACGTTGGTCTTGAACCATCCAGGTCAATAGCCGCGTCTATTACCAGCACGACAAAGTCTACCCTGGCTTTTGCAGTCAAGACCGAGACACACGCCGGTACAGCAACAGACAGGCGTTACATATACTAGGCAAAAGTCGATTAAGGGCACCATGCGGCCGAACATGGCAGAGAACAGCGTGAAGAGGAATCGCCCGTTGACCTAACCTTCACGGTGCGGAAGAGCCGGTTTCCTGGTCACATCACGTACGTCGAGAAACTTCCTGAGCACATGCGGGTTCCCAACGAACTCACCGCCTATCGGTATGCGAATGCAGCATATGTACGGGGCGCGGGTGCTAGGGAGCAACAGAGGCACTCGATCAAGACGAATGACTAGGTTGACTTCCAGGCGTTACATGATGACCGCCAAGCACTTCTCTGTCACCTGAAGCGCTCAGCAGATTCTCTCATTCTTGTTACCAGCAAGACATATTCTGACAAGAAGATTTCCAAACGACATATAGTGAATTTAAGCGACAAAGATGGCAAAGATGATGCGCAAAATCGGCCAGACTGCGCAGCCTGGATCTCGACTATCCGCTCCGACGCCGAACGCTGCTCATCTCTCTCAGTGGCTGACCTTGCGCGACTTGGCATCGAAGCAGGTTTCTGAGTAGAGGGCAGCACGGCACGACAATGGCCTCAGAGTTGTGCGCTCGATAGTGTCTTTCACCATTATTCGCCTGATCAATAAGAGTCGTGCTCTGATCCAGTTCCCAACTGATGATCAAGCTTGAACATCCGCCACCACATAAGCCTCTATAGTGGCTATAGAATAGCCTATTCGTGGCACAACTTTATGAGTAGCTATAGTCCTTTCTTTCATCGTACATGACTTCATCCCGCATTGTGCTGATAGGCCAGATGCCTCTAAACCATTGACTTAGTTGCTCAAAAAGAGCTTACTCAAAGGGCTGCAGTAGTTTCCAGATCCCAAGTGGCATCCCAACAGGTATTTCCGCTTAACTAAATAGCAGCCATCCTATGCGAGGAGTTTGTAGATAGCTTTGGCATAGATGTCGGCACCACTAATTATGTCTCCAAACTTGGCGGACACTCCCTCCTGGGTTATCAAATTCACCTTGTCTGTCAGCCATTGCCTGAACGCCCGTTTGTCTAGATGTTCGATCATTCTGTTATGACCCATCTCGCAGCCCTCATCCGTCAGGAATTGACTTCGCACAACTCTCTCATAATACTCCCTTGCAGCAGAGATGGGAGACAGGAGGGGTGGCTCCGCGTACCACGACCGAAGTAATACTATGGAAGGGGTTTCTGGATCTACTTGGTGTTCCCGCTAGTATCACCGACTACTTCTTCGACCTTGTTGGCCATTCTCCCATGCCTTCTAAGCTTGCTGCACGTATCGGTCGTCGACTCGATATCCTGTATCTACCAAAGACGTCTTGGGCTACTTGGACTATCTCGTACCCGGGACGATGTCTTGAGTTTAGAGCAGATAGTGCGGTCTTTTCACCTCTTGAATAGCGGCACCTCTCTTCCAGCGCCACCCAGATATACTCGGTATATGCAGCAAACAGGTAACAGCCGTAAAAACACTTACGACTTCTTGCGCTCTGACTTACCATATTCATCCATAACTCTCATACAAAGTACCAGCCACACTGTCTGTTAACAATAAGCCGTACCCGTAGGAACTTGCCATGGGTCAAGATCATTAGCATTCCTCTTCAGGAGGTTACAGACAGCAGCATCACGTAGGCAACGACACATACCGCCGCCTATGATCTCATACTATCAGATGAAGCTGGCTTAGATGGTGTTGATCACAGCTGGCTCGCATCCGGCCAGCCAGGCTTACCGTTCACTTCTCAGGCTATTATCAGTCCTTGTACTAATACGGCACTAGTGCTTATTCGCATAAATTAGGGCATATCACGGCCTAATATATACCCGTCACGTGCATAGGCGGGACCCTATAATTCCCTACTAATTAAATAAGCGATTACCCTTAATACTAAGTAATTATAGTAATTACCTCACTAATTACCCTAATTACTTATATAATTATTATAATTAAGACTAATAGATAGAGTAATTATAATTAATACCTAAAAGTATATAAAATATACTTATTATACTTTCTTATATAATAGCTATCTTAGCTATTAATATAACTTAGTTATATTTAATACCCTTAAGTATATTATTAAATATAATTTATATCTTTATTTAAGATAATACTAATAATCCCCTATTAATATAAACCTAATATAATTAGTTTATCCCTTAGATCTAATTATATTATTATATATTAATAGCTCTTATTTAGAGGATTACTTATATTACTTTAAATAATATTAAATATAATAGTTACTTAAGTAAACCCTATTAATAATAACTAATAGGTCTTACTTATTAATTACTTACCCATTATACCTATATAAGCCGCCTTAATTAATAAAGAAATAAACGAAGTAGATAGCTCTAATAATAAAGAAATTAAATAGCTCTAAGCCTAAATTATTACTATAAGTACTAAGATAAATAGACTCTATAAGCTTATTAAAAAAATAGATTAGACTTAGTATACTTAGAATATATAATACTTAAATAATATCTAAGACCTTAATAACTTAGTTATTATTATTATAAGAGGTAAAGATATAAGAGAAATCTTAAAGCTAAACTTATTAGAGATATTTAATAGAATTATATATAAGCTATTAACCTTTCTTATATAGCTATATACTTTTATAACCTATTATTTAACTTAGTTTACCTTAGTAGCTAATAAAATCTAATATGCCGCGGGAAGGCTTAAGGGCTATATTATTATATAATTTAAACTGGTTATAAGGGAGTATTATATAATCCTATTTATTAGACTCTCGCTATAAATTAATAACCTTTACTTAAGCTATAAAACCTTTAAGGCTATATTTTAATAGGCTTTTAATATAATTAATAAAAAGAGATAAACTAAAAAAGAAATTAAGACTCTTAAATAAACCTAATTAGCTTTAGAGTATAAAATAAAATACCTCTAATTTACCTTAAAGCTTAATTAAGATTAAGAATCCCTAATATCCCTTTTCTTTAATAGACTTAAGAAAAAAATATAGGTAGAGCTATATAAGGAAGATTAACCTAATAACCTTATTAATTATATTAGTAAGGTAATTAAAATTAATAATTAATAGTTTTTATAGAAAAAATTATAAAACCCTAGGTTTAATAGTAATAAGGTAATTACTCCCCGGTTTAATATAAATTAAGGATAATTATAATAACCTAATATATCCTATAGAACCTAAGCTAGACCTATATAACTC